CTGCAGCAGAATCGGTCCTATCTTGTAGAGTTATTGAGCTGCTAAGGTAGTGCTTTCTCTAGCTGTCGATGGAAAGTTGAGCTGATAAGAAGAGACAAGACGGAAAATATTTATGCTTAGGTAGTAATCCTGAACGTAGTTGTAGTACCGACAACTCTTCGTAGTTCTGTAAAAACAATTTTTCCATGGGGAAAAACACGCTCTCAAGAGCCGTATGCCAAGCTCGGCAACTAACAGCTGTCAACTGCAGCATCTTCAACTGACCCACCAAATCTGCCGAGCAGAGCGCGTTTCCAACAAGCATCAAGTCAACGAGTTTGCCATCAAGGCACGATAATGTGCGCGTCACGACAAGGATTGTGTGGGGGATGACTCGCAAAACTGCCCTTAGCAACCTCTGGTGAGACAAGTCGCTATTCGGAGCTCCTCGCAGTGACATGGGGCTGATTCCAGAGTCCGAGATTCCGCGACAGCATGAATTTTGGCTCCTGGTAATACTACCTACGCATCTCACGATGTATGTGCCGATTTCCATTTAGCCGTGGCAGGTTGGCTCCACCTCAGGCCCTGAGCCTGGCCTCGAAAGCGCGTTCAGTTTCTTCGAGTCCAGACTGGTTTGGGCGTTCTTCTCCGGCCAGTTTCCTATGGCGCTCAGCACGTGCTCAGTGTTTTTCTATCCTTCAGCCAGGTGACTAGGCTTCATGTCGGTGTAACCTGAAGCATCGCGGAAAGTCCCAACTTACCCCGGACTCTGTGCCATGGACGATGCCAGCAAAGAACGCCTCACTAGCAAGGCCAGCTTGGACCGTGTCGGGCCTATTTTTAATTAGGGCTTATCTGCCTGTTTGCTTTATGTGCAAAGATGCTGGGGAATACGGCAAGCTGTTACTTGAATAGCTTCCCTTTTCGCGGGGAGATGGCGATGCGGTTCTCGGGCGTTCTCCATCTTTGGGGCGTTGACAGCTGCCTCTGCAAACGAAAAGGCCCTTTTCGCGTTTGCCCTACTTTAAAACCTCTTTACGCGAAAGTTTCTTATCTCCGTTTGCTGCATCCGATTCACCCTCTTGAAAAATGATTTAAGAGCATGGGTGGTTCCTGAACAGTCTCCATCATCGCCCTGACAACTTCTCCCTCCTGCAAAGAGCTGTAGATAGCCTCTTGCTTCATCATGGGGTTCATACGTTCCGCCGTGCTTTCGGCCCTCGCGCTTGCTGCGGCCTGTCACGGCCTGGCCACGGCTGAGCCCGTTGTGGAAAAGCGAGCGTCCAGCTATTGGTATGAAAACATTGCCCATCAGGGAATTGCACCATTTGCCCCCAGCGGCTACTCGGTTTACCGCAACGTCAAGGACTACGGCGCAAAGGGTAACTACAACTTGTTCTCATGACTGTTGACCACCTGCTGATATTCAGTGCTCAAGGTGATGGCGTTACTGATGATACGGCGGCAATCAACAATGCCATTCTGTCGGGAGGCCGATGTGGCAGACTCTGCACATCCAGCACTCTAACCCCAGCAGTGGTTTACTTTCCCGCGGGAACGTACGTGATCTCAACGCCCATCATTGATCAGTACTACACCAACATCATTGGAGACCCAACCAATCTCCCAACCATCAAGGCTACCGCGGGCTTCAACGGCATTGCCCTGATTGACGGCGACACTTACTATGGCGACAACAACCCCAACAACCCCAACTGGATTTCGACAAACGTCTTTTACCGACAAGTGCGCAACTTCAAGCTTGACATGACGGCGATGCCAGCTTCGGCACCCAAGACGTATGCTATTCACTGGCCCACGGCACAGGCGACGAGCTTGCAGAACATTCAGATTACGATGAGCACGGCGTCTGGCAACCAACAAGTTGGTCTCTTCGTCGAGAACGGTAAGTCCTGTTAACTAGAGTACTGCGTTATCCGTGTTTCTAACCAGTGGCTTCATAGGATCTGCTGGATTCCTCACTGATCTGACCATCAACGGTGGCTTGATTGGTGCCGCCATTGGCAACCAGCAGTACACGATGCGCAACCTGGTCTTCAACAACTGCGGCACCGCCATCGTCAGCGGCTTCGACTGGGAGTGGGTGTACCAGGGCATCACCATCAACAACTGCGGCGTGGGCCTCGACATGACGGCCGCCGAGTCCATCACGCTCATCGACAGCTCCATCACCGGGACGCCCGTTGGAATCAAGACCAGCTTCGGCACAAACTCGACGCTCCCTACGTTGAACAGCCTCATTATTGAGAATCTGGCGCTCAGCAACGTCCCAGTGGCCATCCAGTCGTCGAGCGGCGCTACAATCCTGGCCGGAGGAACCACGACAATTGCTGGCTGGGGTCAAGGACATGAATATACGCCCAATGGCCCAACTACCTTCCAGGGCAGCATCACGCCAAACTCGCGTCCCTCGTCGCTGCTGAGCGGATCCAAGTATTACACGCGTTCAAAGCCGCAGTATGAGACGCTGCCACTTTCCTCGTTCAAGAGCGTCCGATCTGCTGGAGCTACCGGTAAGCAATTACATGTATTCATGTTCCTTGACAGTTCGAGTGTTAACTCTGCGTGACTACAGGTAATGCCGTCACGGACGACACCGCCGCTCTGCAAAGCATCATCAACAGCGCCACCGCCGCTGGCCAAGTTGTCTACTTTGATGCTGGTATCTACCGCATCACCAGCACGCTCACAATCCCTCCTGGCGCCAAGATTGTTGGAGAAGAATACCCCATCATCATGTCCTCTGGAAGCTTCTTCAACGACCAAAACAACCCGAAGCCCGTGGTTCAAGTTGGCACACCCGGTCAGACTGGACAGGTCGAGTGGTCAGACATGATTGTGTCTACTCAAGGCACCCAGGCCGGAGCTGTCCTCATCGAGTGGAACTTGGCCACCTCTGGAACTCCCAGCGGCATGTGGGATGTGCACACGAGAATCGGCGGCTTCAAGGGATCAAACCTGCAAGTTGCGCAATGCCCCGTGACTGCGAGCAGCTCGGCTGTGAACACGGCCTGCATTGGAGCGTACATGTCCATGCACATTACTGCCAGCGCCAGCAACCTGTATCTGGAGAATGTGAGTCAGCTGCCATGAGAGTTGTGAGTTTGTTAGCTAACGTGATTAGAACTGGCTCTGGACTGCGGACCACGACATTGACGACTCGAGCAACACGCAGCTCACAATCTTCAGCGGCAGGGGCCTGTACGTTGAAAGCACAGCAGGAACATTCTGGTTGTATGTTTGCCCTTTGCCTGACATATCATTGTTGATCTTGATCACTGACATATTACAGCGTCGGAACGGCTGTTGAGCACCACACCTTCTACCAGTATCAGTTTGCCAGCACACAGAATATCTATGCCGGCGTCATCCAGACAGAGACACCGTACGTATATCAATCGCCTTCATATGCGCACTGCTGATAATCCTTGCCAGATACTACCAGCCAAACCCCAATGCTCCAACGCCCTTCACCGTCAACTCAGCTATAAACGATCCCGTCTTTCCCACCACTTGTCCCAGCCCTGGCCGCTGCGCTGATGCTTGGGGCCTGCGAATCGTTAGCTCAAAGAATATCTTCATCTACGCCGCCGGCTTGTATTCGTTCTTCATCAACAACGACGGCACCACCAGTAAGCTTTCGTTTCTTCTCTCACTTCTCTACCAATTCACTAACGAGTAAAAGCTTGCGACGTGGCTCTTGGCCCAGAAAACTGTCAGAACAACATCTTCGACCTCGAAGGCACGCTGTCCAACATCAACGTCTACAACTTGGGAACCGTGGGCGTTGTCAACCAAATCTCGCAAAACGGAAACACTCTTGCAACCTCTCAGTCCAACGTCAACGGTTTTGCTGATGTCATTGCCCTCTTCCGACTTGCTTCTGGAAGTGGAGGCGTGACTCCTCCCCCTTCCAGCACAACCTCTGCGAGATCTACGACGTTTTCGACAATCACCACCAGCTCACCGCCAAAGGTCACTGGATGGAACTTTTTGGGATGCTACTCGGACAACACCACCGGCCGAACTTTGGGCAACCAGGTCCAGGTCGCGGGAGGTGCATCTGCCATGTCGGTTGAGGCTTGTGAGACAGCCTGCAAAGCTGCCGGATACACCATTGCAGGTGTCGAATACTCGGGAGAATGCTGTAAGTAACACGTCAATCACAAACACAACACTCAACTAACGTGATTAGGGTGTGACACCAAGTTCCAGAACGGAGGCGGCCCTGCCTCTGATGGAAGCGCCCAATGCACCATGACCTGCAGCGGTGCGCCACAGGAGACTTGCGGAGGCCCGAACCGCCTCGATGTTTACAGCTTGGCGACTGCCACTGGAAGTGCTTCGCCTCCAGCATCTACCGGATGGAACTTTAGGGGATGTTACACCGACAGCGTCAATGCCCGCGCCTTGACTGCCGAGGGTGTTCCCAACGGTCCCGCGTCAATGACTATTGAGGCGTGTCAAAGCGTGTGCAAAGGCCTGGGCTTCACCCTTGCAGGTCTCGAGTATGCCGATGAGTGCTGTAAGTCCAACTCCAGCTCAACATTCCTTTTCTCAGTAACTAACAGCTTTCAGACTGCGGAAACAGCCTTGCCAACGGAAACATCATTGCTCCGGATGGAAATGCCGGGTGCAACATGGCTTGTGCCGGCAATGCTGCTGAAACATGCGGTGGTTCCAACAGACTGGATGTTTACAGCTATGGCCAGGCTAATGGAACTCAGCCACTGTAAGCTTGTGGAGAAGATGGGACATGTAGATATGAGTATTTAAAAGAATAAAGTATATATTATCTTATGACGAACATGTCAAGTTAGAACTTGAACAAGTAACTCTTGGATTGACACATCCAGCTGGGCAGCGTCAAGGTTACCCCTGTCTGTTCCGAGCCTGATCTGACTAATGCATCATGCCCTGTCTTGTTCCCGTTGCTGCGAGTTAACCTAGCAAAAGCACCGTAACTACAGCTTTTTCTTCACATCAACTAATCCATCATGTCTGTGATGCTGGTTCACGATCGTGGCATCCGTCGTCGAGCCTGTGGACGCTGCCATCGGCAAAAGCTGGCCTGTCGTCGCAGCAACAACAGCGAAAGCTGCCTGCGTTGCGTGCGAGCAAATGTTGCCTGCGTATCTGGCCCATTGCGCCCACCTTATCGCGCCACTCCATCCTATATGGCGGCGCAGCAGCCAGTTGAAGCGCCACCTTGGACGCAAAACAATGGAGCTTCTATAGCCTTGGGTAAGTTGCTTCTTTGAAACTTTTAAATAATAAAAATCCCCCCAAAAAGCTTTAGACTCAATTCCAGCTCACATCGAGAAACTAGATCCGGATGACGCTCAATTCAGAGAAGATGCAGATAAGCAGACCAGTTGCTGGTCTACCAAATTGTTCCATATCCATCCAGAGCTAGATACGACCGTGGACTTTGCTCCAGAGCAGCCTCTCTGCGAAGGCTTTGCCTCTGTCCAAGGTCTAACCAGTCCCGGTCTCAGTACTATTCTTGGCCTGCACGATGATAATATTGAGCGCCAGCAAGAGCCAGATGCAGATATAAGCGGCAGCATTACACCACCAAAAGAAGGCGACCTCATGGCGTGGATTGCCAAAATCTCCCAGCTCAATATTGGATTGCACCAAAATCTGCATTCTATTCCTCCCATTGGAGTTTGGCAGGAGTGCTGGACAAATCCAGCTGGCCCAAACGCAGCTCGGCTAAATGATGAAAAGGATTTGGCCATTGATCGGACTTTGCAGCTCTCCCACCAATATGTCCAAGTGATGAACCACGTCTTCTCATATTTTCACTCCACTGACAAGATTAAAGAAAATGTTTCAGCCACCTTGTCACCATTAGGCGATCCCCCTCAGCTCCTTGTTTTGTCCTGTTATTCTTGTCTCATTGAAACATATGACAAGATTCTGCAGCACATCGAGGCATGTGCTAAAATACGGCTTGAAATGGATGCCAGTGTTGCCGAGGCTTATACCCCAATTGCACTGCCGGGTCTCAACATTGGAACATTTGAGATTGCGCCGTCGTCAACCTTGAAAGTTGTTATTCTCTTACACATCATGGAGGCGATGATGGCTCAAGTTCGGCGCCTAGTGAGCGAGATGACCAAGCCGTCGGATGAAAATGGAACAATGAGTGGCGGTTTAACAGCCAAGACTGGAAATGACAACGATCCAACCAGTATAACACGAGTATCGATGCAGGGGATCCGTGCCAAAGAAAAGGCCATCGTGGAACTCATCAACACTGTGAGGGATCTTGCAGCACAGTGCAAAATTCTCTGATGAATCACGTCCATGTCTCAAGTTGGATGCTAGCAATCTCTTGAAGCCAGATGGATATATTTCAAGGACCGGCTGGAGGAGTCGCCATATGCAAAGCGTTTAATAGGAGGCTGCTTATTGAATACATGGTCAAAAGGATGAAAACACTTACGAGCCTTTATGTGACAATATAAACTACGCGATTTTTAATATCACGTAGGCTGAGGAGTTACGCTAAAATGTCCAAAGTTTGAGCAGCCTCTTTACGATTCTTGCTCGGCTATCCACAAATATCATGAGATCATCGCCGTCGAGCACCTGGAGTGGCAGCTCAGGGACTTGTCCAACCAAAGTGCATTGATTCTTTGCTGGTCGTGGCCAAATTCATCCACATCTACAGCAGTTACAAATTCGGTGTTCCTCGCCAGACTGGGACATCGACTTCGGTAGGCATGACCAGACTTGGCTTAGATTCGGCACTGCCCCTGCACGCCGATAATGGCTTCGAGTAAGATCATGGCCATTGCTGGTTAGCCTCACCGACTGTGGAGATGCAGTCCGATCTTTCGGGATGATATCCGTAGATACTGGTCCATACTTCAAAAGACAGTACACGATGCCGACCGATTCGGTGTTTGGCTCTGAGTTTCGATAAATGGCATTCCTACAAAGTTCGATTGACACAATGTCTCCCATACAACGCTGTTTTGTGTTCCGCCCAATAGGTCACTTGTTTGTTTTCTTCCTTTTACAGCAGTAGAAAGAGGGTGACACCATGAAGACGCCCATCTCTGAAGAAAATGCATTAGCTGCATCCAACTCTGCCTCAGACGACGCCGATACAAAGTCTAAAAACGCTCTTCGCGGCTGGAGATTCTGGGCCGTGTTCCCTGCCATCTGCGTAACATCTCTCTTGTCGGCCGTTGAGTCGACTGTAACTTCAACAGCGCTCCCATTCATCGTTCATCAGCTCAACGCTGGCGGCGTCTATGTTTGGTTTGTCAATGTTTTTTTTCTCACCGGGTATGTTACTTCGTGGATCGACTAACTCTCTTTGCTCATGTATCTGACATGCTTCGAACTGCAGCACCGCTTTCCTACCGCTTTTCGGTCAGATGTGTGATCTTTTCGGCCGCCGATGGATGATGATTGGGGTAGTCGCCATGTTTGCTCTTGGAAGTGGTATAAGTGGCGGAGCTTCCAATGCGGCCATGATGATTGCTGGTCGCGCAATTCAGGGAATCGGCGGTGGAGGCATCAACCTCATGATCGAGCTCATTGTCAGCGACTTGGTCCCCCTTCGCCAGCGAGGTGCATATATGGGAGTTGTCTTTGCTATCTTCTCTCTTGGCACTGCCCTTGGGCCTTTTATTGGCGGCGCCATTGTCCAAAACACATCGTGGCGATGGGTCTTCTTCATCAACTTGCCTATTGCTGGGGTTGCCCTGGTTCTGCATGTTCTATTTCTGCGAGTCAACTACGATCGCCAAACAGCCATTGCAATAAAGCTCAAGAAGATTGACTACGTGGGCAATGGAATACTCATGGCCAGCGTCGTGGCCGTCCTGATTGCCTTGTCCTGGGGCGGCTCAAAGTATGCCTGGTCTTCATACCATATCCTCGCCCCATTGCTGCTCGGAATTGCCGGCATGGCCGTGTTCCACTGGTACGAAACCATGCCGTGGGTGAAGAATCCGACGCTTCCATCACGAGTCTTCACTCGACGAACACCAGCTGCTGCCCTGATGCTTGCCTTTATCAACTTCATGCTGCTCTTTTGGGCGATTTATTTCTTTCCCATTTATTTCCAAGCAGTGCAGCGCATGTCGCCCATCATCTCCGGTGTTGCACTGCTTCCGACTGTTTTGCTTTCTGTTGTGACTGGCATTGTTGCCGGTGTCATCTTGACCAAGACTGGCCGATATCGTCCACTGCATATAGCCTCGTTCGCCTTGATTACTCTAGGCTTCGGTCTTTTTTCGCGTTTCAATGCTTCTACTTCGAGGGCAGAGTGGATCATTGTGCAGTGCATTCCTGCCATCGGCCTGGGTTTCATGATGACGGCCAACCTGCCCGCAGTTCAGGCCGATCTCCCAGAGTCCGATACAGCACTGGCTACGGGAGCTTTTGCTTTTATGAGGGCGTATGGTTCAATCTGGGGGATTTCAATTCCCGCCGCCATCTTCAATGCCCAATTCGACTCACTGCTCCATCTTATTGACGATGTCGGCATCCGCGACCGGCTCTCCAATGGAAAAGCTTACTCGTATGCAAACGCGGAACTCATCAACAGCTTCCCAGATGGACCTCGTGCCCAAGTGATCGAGGTATACACTCGCAGCCTCAGATTAACATGGTACGTTTCTCTCGGGTTCGCCGTGCTAGGATTTCTGCTATGCTTTGTTGAGAAGGAGATTGATCTACGGCAAACTCTAGAAACTGACTTCGGGCTTGAGTCTGAGACAAAGGATGCTAAGAAATCGAATGAAAAGGTTACAAGTCTTTAAAAGCCAGCCAAGGGTAATAAATGGTTTTAAACTGGATGAATACACTCAGGTGTATGTATGAATTGTTTATTTCCTCTTGAATTTATAATATTTCAATTTTTGCCCAGATTATTGCATATATTTATCCCGCGTCCGATATGTGAAGCAGTTTATATGTAGGCTTACCCTATGGCTGGCGTTTTAAGCATTGGGCATTTTTCTCCAGAGGCGATAGAGCCACAGCGGCCACTAAAGCTGTCCAGTAGCGCTGCAGCAACGCGCCCTGTAATTGAGCGACTGTATGCCAACATCTCCAGTCGCTAATGCCAATTTTTCTATCAATAGGTTTAATGTATTTCTATAATCAAAGCGGCTTTGTACACATGAATGCGAACCAAAATTCCAGAAGCAGAGCCATAACGCAGCAAAGGCACATATGCCTATGTGGATACGCACTGAGAGCACTATAGTTGGAGCTTCAATAGCATATTCGGGCTATAGCTCTGGGCGCTGACCACTCCAGCTATTATAGTAGATCGACATCAAAAGCATCAGGCTGTAACAAATAGGGAAAAAGTTTATGGAATCAATAATTATAGTTTTCTCTTTTTTAAAAATCTTTCCATGCATAAGCAGTTGATAATTTGCCCTTACTTAATGAGGGTATAACTGTTCAAAGTCTGTTGCTCAACGCGTGTTAGCTTTACATTAGTATTGCTTACCTATCTGTCAGTGGTTACATTGAAAGCAATTGTCTTGTATCACCGGGCTGAATTCGGATGATGGCAGTTGATTCCGTCTATTTACCTCGAATCATTTTATCTTGTACATGCGAGGTATTTAAATAGAGGCACATCCAATTAATCTGTTAAACAGTCTCTAACCTGCTCCATTCACCGCGATTCAGCCGCCATGGCACAATGCCCAGTCCTGATAATGATGCACGGCGGTGGCCACGCCCACCCGAAATACTTTGAGGCCTTGGAGAATAAACTACAAGCCAAAGGGTTCATTACCGTCGCTGGTGCTAATCCCTCAAACGGTGCCGTTAATTTCACGCCGGGCCAATCTTTCTACGACGACGCTGCTTACTGGAGAGACAAGATGCTGTCATTCATTGACAATGGGCAAGATGTGGTGGTATTTATGCACTCGGTTGCAACTCTGCTCGGGATCGAGGCTGCAAAGGGCCTTGCAAAAACAGACCGAGCAAAGGCTGGCAAAAAGGGAGGCGTCGCTCACCTCATATTCCTGGCTGGTTACTTGCCCAACGAAGGCGATAATGCCTTTTCTTTCTATGATGGGTCGCGTGCAACTTGCCCTGCAATGGTGGAGTTTTCAAAGGTACTTTTGTTACTGCATCGAAGAAGACTCATCTCTCGACATGGACTCAACAGCAGTGCTTTGCTAATGACCATTAGTTGAATGGAGTTGATGTCGGTGACCTCCGGCCATATCACGATTACTTTTACTCCGATATGAACAAAGAGGAGCGCGACTATTGGAAACAGTACATGAGCTATCAAGCAGTCGAATTCTTCACGCTGCCAGTAACTCATGCTACTTGGAAAGACGTGCCATGTAGCTGGATATACACCGAACTGGATCAAGTCATTCCTGTGGACATTCAAAAGCAATTCATTCTAGAAGCCCAGCAGGATGCGGGTATTCATATTCGGACGTTCAGTCTACAGTCTGGCCACTCACCATTTCTAAACATGCCTGACAAAGTGGTTGAGATTATCCAGACGGTATACACCGAAAATGAGCTGTAAGCTACTAGCATACATGAAGAACACTGTGGCCCCTAAAAAGGCCCCTTGCCTTATCAAACCCACACTCTTTTCAATCCAGCTCGTGTATTTGTGCCCAAGTCATATGCCAAGAATCGTCGAGGACATGAGCAATCTCCTCCGACAGCCTGTCCGGGTCAGGCGGGTTTCCCTCGCTGTCAAACGAAAACACCACCCGCCAGTCACCCACCATCTTTAGCTGATCGCCAGTCAGCACCAGTCCAGACCCCTCGTCGAGGAAGGTGATGTTGTCTTGAGGACAGCGTCCAAGGCCCCAGTCCTTGAAGACGTCTCCCCACATCAAGTCGCCGGGCTCCAGCACAACCTGGATTTCCCCGAGGTTCTCCAACTGGTAGACACCGGAGAGTCCGTTATAACGGGTGGCCGCCTCGTACCAGTCGATGGCGATGTCATCGTCAGTCCGGATCTGCAGCCGCTGGATCTCGGATCGGTGGGAGAGCATGTCCGAAACGGCGTAGAGGCTCGAGACGCAGAAGATGTCGAGCTCAAAGTTGACCCACGTCCAGCGCGGCTCGGTGCCCGCGGTGAATGCGCGCTTATAGGGCGCCTGCTGGCGAGACTCGCTGCACACATGCATGAGAGCCGGAGGCGGCGTTGACGAGGTCTCGTAGAGGATGTCTTTGCCCTGCTGGCGGTGCTTGTTGCTGAAGCTGCCCTTTGCGCGCACCTTGTTGATGGTGATGTGGCGAGGCGCTACTGCCAGGCTCCAGATGAGGGAGCGAAGCTCAAAGGGAAGGCTGGCGAAAGACATGTGAGTCTGTTGGAGAGGAGCTGAGCTGAGCGTCGTTTGGGCCACTGGTAGAGATGCGGCGGAGACAGGACAGAAACAGATGAATGCGTGGATAGGAATAGGAATGCCCTCGGGAATGTCCTAATCGGGATAATACACCACAAGTCATCGAAAACGTGTTCCTTTTTATGAGTCAGGGATCCATGTCTGATCCGATCGGCTGGCTGCGGTTGTTGTTCAGCTCCGCTGCCAAGGCCTCTCTCTGGCAAGGTTAGAATTTATGGTTAAAAAAAGCCGCCAACCACACGGCCGGGCACTAATAGCGGGTAGGTCTGTTGACAAGGTATCAATAAATGCTCTAGCATCTGTAAAACTAACTCGGTGTATACAGTATGATTCACATTTTACACTTGATGATTGCATAGTGCCAAGTTTGGCATATAGGCAAGAGCAATAAGTATATTCATCTTTTAATATAATAGGCGAGCCTAGTTTGTTACGTGGAATACCTTGTATTCGACACTTTCAATACCGGCAGCCCCCATGATGAAACTTACACGCGCAATCAAGACGGCAAAGTTCATCCACCTGTACTCTTGACTCGCCGTGCTGCACTTGACTATCTCAAAGCCGTACGGCTCCGTGATGCCTGTCGTATTATTGCCCGGATCCTCTCCTGCTCGGCCATCCAAAGCCAGCATAGTTGCTCGATCAAGATAGTCGAATCCCGATACGGTGAGGCGTAACAGCTCTCCATTCGAGTCTTTGGCGATTAGCCGCAGATCCACCTCAGCGACATTGTCATCGACGAATCGAGTGAGATAGTCTCCTCCGCCCGCGTTTACATCTGCAATATGGGTGCCATCTACGCCAGTGATTGTACCACCCGTGATTTCGAACCAATTTGCCTTTCCTCTTGGAGTTTCGCCGACATTGACTGGTGCTTTTGGCGTGATTGCCATTGTGAAGACGTGCTTGAGGGTGGGTGTTGACATTCTCAAGGCTTGTATAGGTAGGCCGGCTGTCGAGTCAAGGTGTAGAAGATCAATGGATGAATTAGTTGTAAGCAACTCTGTGTATGTGGAGAATAACAGAGAAATGTTTTGGCTGCTTCGGAAATGGGCAGCCAAGTTCTTTATATGAGCGAGCTGTTGAGGGCTGCGATGGTCTGACTAATAATTGAACGGCTTACGTGAATAAGACATGTATCATGAAGTAAACCTGCCTATCCAATGGCATAGAAGAAGCTACTGCACATATTACCGCGACGTGTAAAGCAACTAGTGGCCGCATTAGCGAATCTACGTCATGTATGTATCTTGGATATGCAATACTTCCCTACTCTATGGAGAGAATAGCATCGTGTGGTAGCAGAAGCTGACGCTACATGCGCTTGTCCCATTTTGTATATTGCCCTTGCATACACTAGAAGGCGATTCTTCTCTACCGGTGCTTGATTGGGCTTGATTCCACATTATAGCCTCTTGATTTGCCTTAGAAGAGGGGTAGAGCTCCGCCATTGCCGCATAATCAGAAGCAAATGCGAAGAGTCACGACGGCTACGCATTTCGTAATGCTTACCAAAGACACGATCAATAGTATATCGCTGATTGTTTGTCAGAAGAATAGCAAGTGCAAGAAAATCCTTTAGGAAGTGTTTATTGTCATTAGGTTTAGTCATTCCGTATTTACCGGGCACGTCAATTGATTTGGACCCTCGTTTGCACGTAATTATAATACACTCTGCTTGAGAGACACTATCTAATAGTACACCCTTATTTACATGCATCATAACTCATCCTTTGTATCCGTCTTCTCCCTGGCTCCGTCTTCCAAGCCCCTCTTGACAATGGAACTCAGAATCTCATACACAACCTGCGCTGCTGCCAACGCCGTCTCTTCACCTCGTCCCTGATAGGCCGGACTGACCTCCACCACGTCGGCACCGACAATATTCAATCCTTCAATTCCCCTCAAAATTCGGATAAACTCTCTGGTAGTCCAGCCGCCGGGCTCAGGAGTTCCAGTGCCAGGTGCGAAAGCGGGATCCAGCACATCGATATCGACAGACAGATAGACCGGGTCCTCGGTCCCCAACACCGACATGATACCGTCAATAATGCCCTGTGTACCAATATCGTCAATCTCGTCGGCCGCATAGCGCACCCAGTTCTGGGCGGTATCCGATTCGTGATCGGCCCAGTCGGAGCCGCTGAGACGGGTGCGCAGACCAGCGTGGACAGACTGGCCTGTCGATGAGTTTGACAAAAGTCCCTCCTGGTTGGCCATCCAGAACATGGAGCCGTGAGTGAAATGCGTTGATCCCCAGGCTGACGGGTATGCGGCGGGATTCCAGGTGTCCAAGTGAGCTATCGTCAATTAATTTTGTCTTCTACTCTCAGCTGGGTATATCGTGGCACATACCGTCAAAATGCAGTACCCGAACCGGCTTGCCGTAAATCTCTTTCAACGACCTCAGCGCAGGCAGTGCCAAACTGTGATCGCCGCCGAGAGTGATGAGCTTCGGTCGACCTTTGCTTAGAGAGCTTATCGGCTGAGCCCTGCCAAGATTCTTGAAGGCCTGTGTCATCTGCTCGGTGGCAATATTGTTGTCAAACGGCGTGATGGGAATATCTCCGCAGTCAATGATTTTCGCCCAGTTCTGGTAGGGATTGATGTTTGCGCGCGGGTTGAATGCGCGTAGCGACGTCTGACGAGAAGAAGCTTGTCTTATAGCTCTGGGACCAAATCGGGCGCCTGTGAGAGGTGAGTAAATAGCCATGTGCTGGGTAATGCGATAATTGTTACCTGGTCTGAAGGAAACGGCAGTATCGAAAGGCGCGCCGATAATTGCAATGTCGTATTTCTCTTGAGGGTTTGTGAGGCACTTGACGTAGTCGAGATGGGCAAAGGACCCGATGCCGTTGAAAGCCCACTGCATCTTGTTAGCAAGAGCCTGTAAATTCAACAATCGACTTCATCACACACCTCGTGCCCCCATTTTGCCTCCAACTCATCCAATTCCTCTTTGCTCCATTCCTTCTCATCGCCGTGCCTGCCACAGCTGTAGCCTGAGCCAGCCAAGGCGAGGATGCTGAGCCATGTAATGAACTTCATTTGGAGATACGCAACGCTCGATAACCACCTAGAAAGAAAACCCAAAGGAACGATACAAACGAAATCGCTTTATCAGCAAATTTTGCCTTCTACGTCTACCTTTTATATGACTGCTCTGCTTAATAGTTGGAGTTTCGCCTTCTCCACATTCTCCACACGGCGTCAACGGCGGGGGTTTCTGGGGAAGCTTCTTCTTCTATGAAGCCCGAGATCGGCCGCGAATAGGCGCATTCTGGTTGCTAAAATGGTGCCAAAGTCGATAAGCCACAGACCTATGCTCAACGCCAGCACCAAAGTCAACGCATGAGCTGGTAAAGATCTACCCGGCTCTTTGGGAGTTTTACAAGACAATCTCAAGTATTTATTGTTTGTTCTCCATGTCAGTTATGGTTCCCCGATCCAAGTCGTCGGCACGTGGCTTGATAAAACTGGAGTCTCGCTTCTTGGCTGCAACCTCGCTCGGCTGTTAAGCAACCCTTACAGATTACGCGTGTTGAAGTACCGATAAGAACCAGCCAGCGCTAGAAATAGTCTACGCCTCTAGAAAGCGCCCTTTTAGCTCGCTCAAGTTCCGAATCCGCCAATTCTTGGCGTGGTGAATAGATATCTCTTGCATCTTTGACGACCTGGGAGTTTCTTCTACCAAGTGATGCATAAGAATGGCTCATACCGTCTTTACATCTGTCACCTTGGAGTAAAGGGAGCTACTATTTATAAGCTCTTCAACTCCCTCCTTTCTTCTTTCCTCCGGCCCATTTCCTTCTGCGAATAATACGATCCATCAACCTTCTTCGCCATGGCTGACAAGCTCAATGCCCCGGACTCTGTGTCCATATCCCAATCCCACGTGGAAGAGACAAAGTTTGCACAGCCCGAAGAACAGCTCAAGAAGCGATTCACCCTGCTGTCTGTCATTGCCTTTGGCTTCACCACAATGAACTCATGGGTGGCCTTTGCCTCTGGCGTTGCTGTCCCGCTTTCCTGCGGCGGCGGCCCAGCCCTCATCTACGGCCTCATCGTCGCCGGAATCGTCATGGCCACAATCAACATTGGCTTTGCCGAACTTGCATCTGCATTTCCATCGGCCGGCGGCCAATACCACATCGTTTACATGACTTTTCCAAAATCGACACGTCGAGTCGCCGCCTTCTTCACGGGCTGGATATCCGTGATTTACATCATGGCGGCAACGGCGTCGTGCAACTTCTTTGTCGCCGGCTCGATTCTCGACCTCGTCAACTTGTGGAACGACGGCTACGAAATACAAGCTTGGCATACATATCTGCTGCATATCCTGCTGAGCATCATCGCATTTGGGGCGACGTCTCGGTTCCCCACTGCCATTGGAAAACTGGGCGTTTCAATCCTTGTGCTGTCTATTGTTGGCTTTGTGGCCTCGCTGGTTACGCTGCTTACCGTCCAGGAAACGAAACAATCTTCCGATTTTGTCTTCAGGCAGTATACGAATGTCAGTGGATGGTCTGACGGATGGGCCTTTTTCATCGGCGTTACTGGATGTCTCTGGGCATACAGTGGCGTTGATGCCCCAACACATGTTTCTGAAGAAGTTGCGAACCCGAGTCGAAACGTCCCCATTGCCATCATCACCACCATGGCTCTGGGAATCGTCACAGTCCTTGCCTGGAACATTGCGCTCATGTTTGTTGTCACCGATCTCCAGGCCCTCGTCGAATCTGGCGTTCCCATTCTAGAGGTCTACAACCAAGCCCTCAACTCAAAAGTGGCCACAACCATCTGGGCTGTCTACTACATCGTCATGTTCTACGACATTGTCCTCAACCTCTTCATCTTCGCCGGCCGAACAATCTGGTCGCTGTCCCGCGACGGCGGCGTCCCCTACTCCAAATTCATCTCTCATCTCAACTGGGCAAGTCCCGTTCGCGCCAGTGCAATCATGCTTGTCTTGCAGATCATCATTGGTGTTCTCTACGTGGCATCGGCCACAGCGTACAGCAGTTTCATCAACCTCACTCTCTTTGCGCTCAACATTACGGTTGCGCTGCCTCAGGCTGCTCTCCTGTTGCGAGGCCGCAGCATTCTCCCTGAGCGAGCCTTTTCTCTTGGAAAGTTTGGCTACGTTACAAACGCCACTGCTACGCTCTTTGTAATTTTCTTTTCTGTTTGTTTCTGCTTCCCTGTTGGGTATCCTGTCACTGCAAGCACGATGAATTATTTAATTGTTGTCATGGCCGTCGGCCTAGTTGTGACGGCACTTGTATGGGCTGTCAAGCTGCGAAAAACCTTTACCGGCCCTCAGTTGGACAGTTATGAAGGTGATTTTCATCACTGAGATTTGTATATGAGCGAAACCCCTATCTCGATGGAGAAGAAGAAAAGGATTAGATAGCACCACGATAATAATTACAAGCATCATGATAACTCTCATTTCTCCGATTAACTGCTCCACCGTCTCCAACCCCACACACCACACCGACGGCGAAACAAAGAAGGCTGATTCAGCAAATGATGGTCCAAGGGGCGATAACTCGTTCTAGTGCCATCTCCATTATGTACGAGTTATCCCAAAGCAACTAGCGCTCTCACGTATTAACTTTGTGGACTCAGTTTAACCCGATACAACCACTTTGCCACGCCCTTAGATAAAGAAGTTCCCCGCGCTTTGTGTTCCAGCTGCTATCAACCGCATGTCCACCTTCTCCGCATTCTCCACACACCTGATAGACACGGCTGTTATCTCCAACCAGGACCGCTAATAAGATAACAGGCTCGCCGCCCTTGACGCCGCGCATGGACGCTTCCGACTCTCGGTTTCTCTGTCACTTGTTTCTCTGCCTTTGGAAGATCCATCTCATATAACCTGCGTGGTAGGGACTGCCTGCTGCGTAAATCTCGTCATCAAACGTCAAACGTCACCCCACTGTTGTCTGCCGCCATTGACGCCCATCTCGCTCCTAGAGTCGCAATGTCGACGCTGCCGGTCTCGCTATTGCCGGCTTCAAGGCCGCAGCCGATTCCCCAGCGCAAACTGATCAAGAAGGGCGGCTACACGCGACAACGCCGCGGATGCCTGACCTGTCGACAGCGCAAGAAGAAATGCGACCAGGGGCTGCCGATTTGTGGGCACTGCTCACGACTCAACCTTGTTTGCAAGCTCGAAAAGCCCCGAGAGGTTGTTTCGAGCGCTGGCGGGGAAGATGCTGCCAGAGACTCGGGTTCTGAACGGCGCCAACGCTGGGACCATGACAACTCTGCTTCTCCACAGGCCGACAATGTTTCCGAAGTGTTGAGGGTTTCAAAGATCTTTGAGCCGCTAGACTTTGTGCGGCCTAAGGACTCTGTTGATCATCTGAGCTCTAGTCGGAGGACCATGATGCGATACTACACTTCCACCCTGGCCATTATGCTATCCGCAACCGCTGAAAACAACTGCTTCTTATCCGGTTAGTTGATTACAACTTTGTCTGCGTCTAGAGTTTCCCATCTAATAGTGGATCTAGTCCTGCTGCCAATGGCCTTTGACTGCGGTACCCTCCTGGATGCCATGGCTGCATGGTCTTCGGCCCATCTGGCCCTACGAGACCCCAGTTTCCACAACGTCTCTCTGCAGCATCGCGGCAGGGTTCTTAGCAACCTTGGCGCCGCTCTTAACGGCAATAACCTTTCTGGGGAAATGTGCCTGGCTATAACCATGGCTATGTGCTCTATGGAGACCATCTCGGATGCAACTACTAGCGGTTGGGCACACCATCTGCTTGGTGCTGCGGCCGTCCTTCAGTCTGGTAGCTCCGATGTTCAAGAAGGGGCGCTGCAAAAGTCACGAACCATCATCAACAGCTACTGGCTGGAATCAGTTGAGAGGAAGTGGCTGGTGAGGAACTTTGCGTATCATGATATCCTGATGAGCGTTTCGCTGGACCGAAGACCGCTCATCTCCGGCGACTATTGGATGTCTGCGGATGACGAGATGGCCGATCCATACTTTGCATTTGCGTCCAAAATCATGCTTTTAACTTCAGAAATCAGCGTCTTGAATGCAGATTGCGCCGACTACGAGCTGTTGCTTCACGACGAGGGCAGCAGCCCAGAAGAATACGACTATTCCAGCATCTTTGAAGCATTACCGTCACAATCCAAATACGATACATTTCTCCAAAGAGCCCGCAGCATCGCTGATGAACTTCGAGAATGGGAATGTCCAGCTGTTTCCGCCGACACACCGCTCGGGTTCCTCAGCCAAACATATCAAAGCGCAGGGCTCATATACCTCCACTACGTCTTGCAGAAATACTTTCCACAGCACTCGGCCGATATACTAACAGAAGGAATTGACGTGTATGTCGAGTCAGTTTGTGATGCTGCGCAAAAAGTGCCCGAAGGATCGCTAGCCGAGTGCTCGTTACTGTTTCCACTGTTTATTGCTGGCGGGGAGGCGAAGGATGCAACACACATTGAGCGAATCAAGAATAGGCTTTACACGATGAATAAGTGGAGGAGGTTCCGGAATGTGAATGCCTGCAGGGAGGTTTTGGAGGAACTTTGGGAGCGGAGGAGTGAGGCAAGAGAAACTGAGACACTGAGTTGGAGGGATATTGTCAGGCAACGAGGCTGGCAGCTTGCACTGTCGTAGGATTGATGGTTTAACGAGTCACATGTCAACTTGCGAGTATATTTAGCGTGCATATCTTCCTATAATGAGTTAGGATTGTTCATCTTCAAAAGATTTTCAGATGTGTAGACGTCTGTATGAGTGATGTGGGACAGCCAGGAGTGTATGAGTTATGAAGCATTCGAATAAGTTTATTGTTACACCTATGTAATAAGCTTCTCTCAATTCATACCGACAAGTCAAACTCTTAGCTGTGGTAGCATGCAAAGGACTTGTATTAGCAAACGCTACCAACACAAGTTCTATGGCTGTTAGACCAATCGGCACAAATATACCTTCCACTGTATCCTTGATCTTTGTAAAAACAACACTGGCAGTTGGCATGCTAGCAAGAAACGATATTAGCCACTGCGCTGTTTTGGTAGTTGTGACAGAAACCCATCTCGGCGTATGCGTGCTTATGTGGAAACTCAAAGGAAGCCTTTTTCATATCTACGTCAGGATGTATTCCCCATGTTTGTACTACCATAACGTCGTGGATCTGTGGGAAGTTGCCAGTACATGAAAGGATCGCAAAATCTCACGCAGAGGGCATCAATACCCCACGCAGGGGTGAGATTACCCCACGAACGGAGATGGTCGCTACGAAGGCCCAGTTGCCGATCATCCACTTAGAATTCTTAAAATGCCCGGCCGCTATTGGTGACTGGTCAGTTGATTCAACCACTCTATTCCGGAAGATTAAAGGTGGGTTTCCGTCAAGGCTGCGGTAATAACCAGGGTATCTTGCTCATGAGAAATACGCTCTCTTCTCAAGCCAGCCTTTGAACTGCCAGGCTTCAACATTAGTGCAGTACACATTAGTGTTTAATATTAATTTGTCAGCCATGGATAACATAGCGAAAAAAGCTTCGTACTGGATTGAGACCGAAGACTGGCACACTGCCGGTGAGCCATTTCGTATCGTCGACAAACTACCGGCTGGATATCTTCCAACCTCACCCACAGTGGCTCAGAGACGGCTCGAGATCACGACGGCTTCAAACCACCCTCTGGATGAGCTCCGTCGGCTGCTATGCCATGAGCCGCGCGGCCATGCCGACATGTACGGCGGCTTTATCACGCCCCCAGACGACCAGGGCGCTCACTTTGGGGTTCTGTTCTGGCACAAGGACGGCTTTTCTACGGCTTGTGGTCACGGCACTATCGCGCTTAGCTATTGGGCTATCGCTCACGGCATTGTCAAGGTTATTAAGCCCGATGAAACACTCGACGTAGTGGTCGATGTGCCTTCGGGCCGTGTAGTGGCACGGATGGGAATAGAGAATGGGAAACCAGTACATGCCGACTTTATCAACGTGACCAGCTACCAGCTAGCAAAATCGCTACCTTTAGCCATCCCTTCATGTGGGCTTGATGTCAACGTGGATTTGTCTTTTGGCGGCGCAGTCTATGCTACCTTGGATGTGGCCCAGCTTGGGATAGAGGTTGAGCCTGAGAATGCCGATCGCTTCATTCAGCTTGGTCGAGAGATCAAGGCTTTGCTCGGCACCAGAGCTCACTACGGTCCGTACGACTGCTATGGAGTCATCTTTTACAGTGAAGGGGATTGTCAGGCCGAGAGGAATATGATTAAGCAACGCAACGTCACCATCTTCGCAGACGGGCAGATTGACCGTTCCCCATGTGGTTCTGGGACCTGCGCGAGGTTAGCCGTTTTGTATGCACAAGGCAAGCTGGAGCCCGGATCTTCAAAGCTTTTACACAGCTCCATAATCGGCTCAAAGTTCGAGGCAGACATTCTGTCTGAGGCGCAAAGTCCAGTAGATGGATTCCCGGCCTGCATTCCACGTGTTAGGGGTCGGGCGAGTTTGGTTGGACGAATGAAGTTTTTTATTGACCCAGACGATGAAATCTACCCGGGCTTTTTGCTACGGTGAAGGAGTTACCAAACTGACCTCTTTAGTAGAGTAGATGGATTAGATTCATAAGAACATTAGAGAGAGAAAAAGCTTACGAATCAGTTTCTTTTGTGCAATTCGAAGATGTTGTTGGGCAGATCCCTTCCCACTTTGATATGGGTGTTACGTGTACCACCAAAAGCGTCCAAATATGATCTTGACACTATACTACAATACGCAGCGAAATACAACCGTTTCCCGAGTTTTGGGGTCTTCTAACAGGGGCCTCTTCAGAGTGTCGTCAAGTTACCATCTAGAAGCAATAGAACACACCAAATCAAAGCCATACTTCTTTTGGTCTTTTTTAGAAGTCTCAACATGCTGCTTATTGCCCTCTCAGGAAGTAATGCAAAGATCCTCTTCCAAAAATTGCTTGGGTAGAAGTTGCCAGTTGAACTGCAGCACTCACTTGGTAGGCCATTATCACCCCATCATCACTCGATCAAGAGGTCGGGTCACCTTATTTATACCTGCAACGACCGAGAAAATAGCTGGCGCCAAGGTTGTAGGACTTACTCCAATTCCAGATACCACTAGCATCGAATATGGCAAGAAATTCCGACTATGGTCTAGACTGCCAAGCAGTTTCAGTTTGCAGCCTTAAGTAGAGTTATCGGAGTAATATTTGATGCCGCCGACCTTGCCGTTTCCTACACGATTTTGGTATCCATGCTTCTACACGCCCGAAGGAGGCTACTGGCTATATCGTAGTCTTAAGAGCCGGCAAACCGGCACCTTGGCATTTTCGCCTCGCAGCAATCCTTCGCGGCAATTGTACTTGTAGGATTGCCCGAGGATAGCCTACCTGATCTAGACTACTTACGAGCCGGGATGTTCTTTATACATTGACAACAAAACTCTAGACAGAGAAAATCCGGCTGATTTGATATGGGACGTTTTAGTCCAAGCTACGCTTTTTTCGGCCATTGAATCCTATCGGTTCAGTATAGCAAAAGCTGGCACTAAGCCTTTGGCATCTGTAGCAAATTTTGAGAGAATATTGCACCTACAGACCATCTGTATTGGATCATATATATTGTTAAGTAGTGTTAGTTTAATAAGATTGCCGATATTAACCTCACCTCACATAGCTTCTAATGTTATCAGTGTATCTATACAATCTCATTGATGTCCTTTTGCCGCATCAAAGAGGCAGCTGGCTAAAAAGGTTCTATTCAAGTCGCAAAGTGCCGTATATTTAAGTAAGCCCTACTTGAATTTGGCATCTGCTTTCATCAGACAAGTTACTAAAGTGTGTCATGCATACATATATAACGCGTCTATGTAACCTCAAACACGTGGGACTCATGTTCCTTGATTCAGCTACCACACCATCTTCTACTACTACTGCACTGCCTCGCAAAATTGTTACCGACGATAGCTAGCTTGATACTACGTAGTTTATAAAGAATGGCCCACTGCCGAAATTCGCGAGGGAATCCGGTAGGTGCCGACAGTCCGACCCCTGTATGAAGGATTGAGCCGACAATACTATTACTACCAGGGGTTATAATTTGGACTTTGTTTCGCAAACTGTTGCTCCCAGCGACGGCATGTAGTTTGAAGCCGGCAAGTTGAGTGTTGTTGCAAAGCATTAGACCCTAATGAGGCAACTTTACTCGATACAGTTGTCAAAAAACCTATTGACTCAAGTCACTGCATCCAATAGCTTGTTGACATACTATTTGAGGTTAAAGCCAGTTGCGTTCGGCGTAAACGGTGCTGCCTGGAAGGAATGTCGCTTATCATAGCACTAGATAATAATAACCGGCGCTAACCACAAAGGTTATGCATAGCTACTCAATTATAAGCAGTTCCTGGACTTTGAAAGTAGAACGCGTATTCCTTGTAAGCTACGGCAATACTGACACGAGTATTGCTAAAAGGCGTAAAGAACCTTTGATCTTTAAGTCGACAAAGGCATAAATTAACCCATTGTAGTAGGATAGAAAATAAGCAGAAAATGACAGTCCATGCTGGCTGAACTGATGTCGAGATGAATCACTCTTTGCTGCGTATACTTTAGATGAATACATGTAGAACACGGCTTGGCAACTATTTTCATCCACCCTTCTCCTGAATCGGAGTTGTATTGAGCCACCCTTCGGGCCTAAATATCCTGGACCTGGAAAGACGGATCTTTTAAGCCGCACATCTACCAAAAGAGAAGGTTGTGAGCCTCATACCATGTTCAAATCACGGTACATCTTTGCATCCGAGCCAATCATGTTCAACTAGCGTAGCTATAGGATTCAGAGAGCTACTCTTACTGTCTGATAGTGACCGAATATGGACAGCCTCAACAAGTCTTTTCTTCGAATTCCGGGAGACTGTATTGTCAGCATCATCGGGATCGAACTGGACGAGAGCAAGGATTTGAAGGGGAAATTAAATTTTAGCATCGGCAAACAAACCTACCAGACGATTTTGAAGATGTGAGTGCAGTACTCAGTAAGAGAACTATCTATAAAGACAGACCTCGCCCCAGAGCTGTTTCATGACATCTCCATCAATATCAAGTACTTCAATTGCCTTGTATCAGACACTTTCAATCCTTTTTGACGCTATTCGCTGTATCTAAAATGGCTCGCTTGTCTTACATCTCGCTACTTGGCCTCGCCAGCTCCGTTCTTGCTGCTCCTCAGCCGGCATTGACCGGAACTGAAGGCACGATTGCTTCAACTGTTCGAATTGCTGGTCCTACAGCTGCTCCTAACATTCACGGTCTCGACATTGCCGCCGCTCCTCAGTTCTTGACCATCACCGTCATTAACAGCCATGGTGATGCCATCTCAACCTCGCACGCTCACGACCCCAACGGACCTTCTGCCGTGTCGGGCAATGTAGGTCCCGGCACTATGGCCAATGGTGCTACTGCTGCTTTTGCCGTCCCAACTGGCTGGATTGGTAATGTCGCCATCAACGACGCCGGCTGGGCCATTACTGGCGATGATTCCCTGATTGAGGGTAACTTTGTTGTTCCTCAGGGGTCTACTGACGCAGTGGCCGATGTGGACATCTCTTACGTGTAAGTTGAAGGCTGCCTTTTGCATTCTATTTTTCTCGTCCACTAATGTATCTATAGTAACGGTTTCTCCGTTGCCATTGTTTGCTCTTGCAACGGACAAGTCGTCACTGGTTGCAACAAGAACTTGTTCAACCTCAACTCCTGCGGCGTAAGTGAAGCTAAAGTATATCTACAGTAAGCTGGGGCTAACCTGATACACAGAACAATGACGGACAAAACGCTTGCGTTAACCCGCTCCGAAGCGATGAAGGAGCCACCTCTGCTGCGCCCTTCTTCGCCCCCTGCCAGCACGCTGCCTGGACGTATGTCAACGATGGCGCTGCCAACTCTTTTGGACAGTGCCAGTCTGGTCAAATCACCTGCTGCGTCGGAGCTGCTTGCCCGCCTAACCCTAGACAGCCATAAAGGCTTGGCAATTGAGGCTTGGACTTGTGACAAGGAGAATTTTGCCGGTGCTACCATGAAGGTATCGGGCATTTAAGATCCCTGTCTTTGTTCATAAATTATCACAAGTACTTATTCTCCGGCATAGTCGCTTTGTATATAGCTTTACGAAATACATAGTTACACAGAAATATATGTTAGTTACACAAATCAATGCGTCTTATTATCGCAACCCTATATATAACGAAACTTAAGCTGTATCTTCAGATAGAATTTTACATATCACTATCTTTTTTTTTTTTTTAATCTACTGTTTATATCTTTTGCTCTTGATGAAATGTTTAATATTATGTATGAATCTAGCAACACAGAATAATTATCTACAAGCCCACAATAAATAAACGTTAGTCTATACAGGTATCTATGAGAGCTCTGGTATCTGCTAGCTACCCTAAGCATGTTCGCCCATACATTGACCTGACTGCTAGTATTAACACGCAGAACGTGACCGCACTATTGGGGAACGTCATCTTAAGTAGTTAACTTTGTTTCATTTGACTATGTATTTGCAAATATCGTATGTACACAAGAATTCATCCTTTTCCCTGACCATGAACTTGAAAATGTCGTATGTACATCAGTATCTCATTCAGCATCGTCATCTTAGTTAGGCCCATTACCAGAGTCATAAGGACTAAAGGCTACCAGAGCCATAAGCACTAAAAGCATATTGAAGTCCCAAAGAAGAGAGGGAAGGTCCACCGTTCTGGAGCAAGTCCTTGCCGTTGTCAGCAGTACCAAAGTAAGAGTAGCGGTAGACGCAAGGGTTGTTATCCAGGAACGGGATCGCCGATCGCAAGAAGGTAGCCTCCTGGTCAGGTGTTCCGCCTGCTTGAAACTGCTCGAGTGGTTAGTATCGGGTAGTGATTCTTGCTATCGGGTAGAATCTTTGTGAGAAACATACCTCTGTGATCCAGACCTGGCGGCCACCGCCAAGTGAGCAGATGCTGTTGACCCAGTTCTCGAAATCGGCTTCCAGGGTCCAGTCATTGTACCAGTGGATGGGGATGAAATCGATGTGGCAGCCACTGCAGGCCTGCAAGAACTGGCTGATCCAGTTGTAGCCGTCGTTGGAGACAGCAGGAGCACCGAGTTGAGCATGGCCATAGAAAGGCTCCATGTATTGCCTCCACGCATTTGCAGCGTCTCCAGGGCTCAGATTGGCCTGGCTACCCAGCTCCGGTTCGTTAAAGGCCAGCAAGTGTCCTGAGCCTCCATTGTTGATCCAGTACCAGGCATTGTCGAACCACTGGGTGGTGTGGTAGCTCTGTGTGCCCCACAGCATGGGTACAAACTCGGCCCAGCTCTGCTTCTGAGAGGTTGTGCTGTCCCAGTTATACTGCCAGTTGACCTGTGAACCATGGCCATTATACGACCCGCCAAACTGCGAGATGGGGATATCATCGTTTGCAGCTAAGCCACGCTTTGGCCATGGATCGGCAAGGGCCAAGGTGAAAAGGGAAGCGGCAACGCTCAACTTTTTGCTGGAGAAGACCATGTTGGCAGAGGGTATGTGAGATTGTGAGAACAAGTTCACAATTTTTAAACGGCAAAAGAAGAAACAAGCAAAGCCTTCTTGACCTGTGGGCAAGAGATTGAAGATGTAATCCAAATGCCACAAACTTGAGAGCGGTGGTGATTTTTCTTGTACTACAACGGCATTCTATCTGCTATATATACAATTTATAAGCACTTAATTATCTTGTTCGCTTGATTAATTGCAATCTACTGAAGGATGACTACAATCTGTTGAGGGATGATTCCAGTCTGTGAAGGATTTTGGCTCTTCCTCTTCTGTTTTCACTTTCTGTTTTCGAACTAACAGGTAAGCATAACATGCCTGTTTGTTAATACGCTTTCATTGTAATATGCAGCGTGTGCCGCGTGGGATGATATTCAGGTACACTTTCGTAGTTGGTTGCTAAGAGTCCCAGTTGAGTGCTAAAAGTGGAACCAACTCACAGCCACTAATACGCAACCCTGGCTCACGCTATGCGGATTTCGGTATCAGAAGGCTTATATTGCCCGGCATGACAATGCTCGAGACTGCTGCCTTGAATCCTTCATATGTGGATACATATTTATTCTTTCTACAAATGGAAGGCACAAAGGTTTTCATTTCCAATAAGCATAGGCACTTGTAATACGCTCGAATGGATCCTGCCGATATAATGCCGCAGCAGACCATCTCATAAGATTCTAAATCCTTCCAATGCTAGGTATAATGAAATGCTCATCTTTTGCAACTCATCTCCTTCTGTATTCATCGTAGGCTACTTGTAGCTATTGACTCGACATGGCTGCTGCTGCTACTCAAGAGCCCGATTCGGGTGCGAGTCTCGTCATCTACTGCAGCACGCCATTGAAGCTGCGGAATCCACGGATCCTATCACTGACCATGAGCTTATTTGGCAACTCAAATCTTACGGCAACTACCGAGGCGGCGGCAGTTGTGAACAAGAGTAGTGAAGGTGACAAGACAACCTTGCTTCAAGATCAACTATCCCAGTCTCGCATGAATATCTTCATAGAGAGGAAAAAAGTATATAAATGAAGACATTGCTCATCTCGTCCTTCAGTCCAGCCATCCAACCGGCATTGTCTTAACAAGATCGACTATTCATTCACCTCCCATCATCATGCGTGTCATTTCTCTTCTCCCGTTTGTTGGCGCTGCCATCGCGCTCCCAACCGAAACCCCTGGAGCAGCTCCCTCTAATGCCACTGCACCTGATGTCAACGCTATCAAGTCCGTGCCACAAGACCACTTTAAGAGCTATCAGACTGGTGGTTTAGTACGTCAGTCTCTCAAGGCTGAGGGAACAAAGTCCAAGCGTGACTGGACATGCAGCACCTCGCCAACTCTGACCTGGGGTGACAGCGACAATGGCGGCAAGGGCATCTTCATCACCAACACCGACAATGACTGGCGGGGCTTTTACGCCTTCCACAACAACTGCGACACGATTCCTTACAAGTACATTTGGGTTGCAGCCGGCGCGACTCAGTTTGTGTCGTTCCCTGATGGCTGGGAGGGCCGCATCCAGCGCGGAGTCGACGCAACTATGCTCAACGGCCAGGCACACTGGCTCGGCACATGGTTCGAGTTCAGCTGGGACGCCAATGGCTGGGGCTGGAGCGACGTCTCCCTCATCCGTGGATGTGACGGCCCTGTTCTGGTCAACTCTCAGGACGGCTCAGGGGCGTGGAAGGGATTCACGCAAGACATCTTGAGCAATGCGCCTGCCAATGCCCTTGACACCAAGGATGACGGCCAGAGGGTGCTCGCGGCCACCGAGTTCATTGGCGGTGCCATCAACACGCCCCCTCGCGACTGGGAGCTCCAGCAGGTTGGCTCGCAGTACGTCTATGTTGACGACTCGCACGGCAGCCCCGTCATTGCCGCAACCAACGGCCGTTTCGGCACCACCTGGCCCGCCGGCCGAGCATAAGCCGGCATTGTTTCGACAAGGAGCCTGATTTATAACTTTGAGAGTATATATACACGTACATATATGTAAATACAGATAGCAAAAATTGTATAAATTACTGTGGAGATGCTCTATTTGCCTATTACTCGTAACTAGTATTTTGACGTAAACGAGGTGTTTGATCATGGCATGTTAGGACTTTGTAGTGCTGGAGCAGTAATGATGAAAGCGGTGTAATGTTTGGTTTGTGGAATTTGTAGTTGTAATATCGCAGCCCTAGAGCTATCGGCATATTATAGAATATTGAGGAAATAAAGGTAAAAGTGGCAATTGGAAGGGGTGCTTCGAGAGCACAGCAGTACTAAGGTTCTTGTGGTAATGGGCAGTGTGGCAACTCTTCATTGATTTCTAAGGATTAGCATGTGACTATACTATTTACTCTTCTCTTAACATGTATACGACTGCTAATTCTGTATACAAGTAGCCATTATCGGATAGAAATAGAAACGGCAGGATTGTAATGCATCTGATAGATGTCAGCTGTCCGCGGTACTCTAGAAGCATGTAAAAGCTTTAGATCTCGAAATGTAACAATATCCAATCATGCAAATAAAACGCAGGGTAGGCCGTGGTTACAGTTGAGGCTGCAAGGAGGCTAGTTCTAAATCCGTAAGGATTCAGGGGGATTAGGATCCATTGTTCCAGCACGTGGCGTAAGATGAGCCTAGACTATCCTGGAGTAGATCAATGCCCCTCTGTAACCCTCTCCCTGGAACTCTCCGTTGCTGGTGGGATCACCAATCAAGCTTCGTGGCCGAGGGTTTACGCAAAACTCCATCCACGATGAAAAGTTACTCGGGGCTCGTTGTATTTATATCTAGAATGCCATGCATTCAGCTGAATAATTGAATATTAATTCATGAGCACGGACATGTAAGATGGTAAACCCGTGAGACGGGCTAATGCTCGGTGACTGTAGACCACTGCAAATGGCTGTGTACCCCCGCCTATCACCGCATATTGCCGCTTACTATTACCGCATCCCCATAAGTCATACGGAGCACACACACACTGTAAAATCAATCTCAAAGTCCTCTCTATTCTGGGCCGGATTTAGAGAGAATACAACGATTTGCTCCAAATGTTAAAGCCGCTATGTCCAGATTGTTATCAGTTATTGGCATTAGTATCTCGGGATTACATGAAATAGCAACGCACTACTAATGAGCCTCATGTGGTGGATAGCAAACACTAATGCAAGGCTGATCAGTACATCCATTTGTTTTAATCACGTTGAAGCTCGCATCTGTTACATAGAATACCGTGAGTTAATGTTACATCATTGACATTGGTATATATACTTATTGCTTATACCATTTGGTTGACGATCGACACTTTTTTATACTAGGAATAGAATATCATGCTAGCGTTTTACTATGCGCGTTATATTGCTGAGTCGTAGTTCTCTGGCTGTATTCTCTCATTGTAACCTGCTATACGGTGCAGGAGAGCCTGACCCGGACGCACCCGGAACTGCAGCTTTTCAAGGCGCAACATTCTTGAATATGAGCAACCTACCTCAGCCTGTGATTGCCACGGTCAGTAGTCCTGCTCGAGGTATAGCAAATGAATTCCTCGCAGCGTGCGATATGCGATTCACTTCAATGAACGCTCGTATCAGCAACTTTGAAGTAACCCTTGGCCTGCATCCTGGGGCAGGTGGCGTTGCGTGGATGCCATTGCATATTGGAAGGGCTCGTGCCCTGGAATTCATGCTTACAGGGAATGATCTTGATCCAGAAACGGCCGAGAAATATGACTATGTCAACAAGGTGTTCAATACACCAGATGAAATGCACGATTACGTTGATAGGCTGGCAGAAAGAATTGCCCTATTCCCTTTAGCTGGTATATCCAGCATTAAAAGGTCTGTAACAGATACGATTCAGCCAAAGTTGGAACAAATAGCTCTTGAGGGGGCTGAGTAGGATAGACTGGTGAGCCAAAAACTAGAAATGGACCTGGTGGGGAAATTCGTAACACTCAGCAAGAATTTTACGGATGTCGAGTTTGAGCTTCATGTCCCACGGGAAGTAATCAAGGTTTACGAGAACTAACTCAATATTGAAGACGTAATTCTGTGTTTACGCCGTGGCTCAATTTTACTATAGCACTTATAACTTGAGATGAATCCTCAAAATGTTAAATTGGATATATAACCAAGTTAACTGTTTCTTCATTTAACATAGAATATTGCTTCCTAGCTACGTGTATGCAACTTCAATGTTTGGCAATATTGATGTGGATAAACTTTTAAGCAGAGAATATTCTTGAAAAGTCCAGTTTGCGGAAATATTGCTCCATTGTATCCAATTTTGGGGGGTTTTCCAACTAAATCCCGTTTATTTTATGGTTCAATCACATTGATCGCTTGAGGAATACGCTTACCTGGCTTGGGTGAACGACGGTCGGGTCATCTCTACCTTCATACCCAAATTCTTCAAAATAAAGAAAACCCTCGTCAATTTCGAGCTTTAGATCGGGCGGTAAGAATTCATTTGGCTCGTCACGAGGTGCCACCACCACTTCGGACTTGGTCTCCGAGGCGTTTTGGAAAGCTTTTACCATTTCTCGCAGAGTTGCCCACTCTCGGTAAGCAATGAGGTTTTTGCCCGGTTTTTCTTGGACCAGAGCTTTGACGAATGGTCCGGTGTCTTCTTCTGCGGCGATCCACGGAAGCTTAAAGTCGGCAGCCATCGTAGTAATGAAATGGGCGATTCCATCCGCGTTCTGAGAAATGTTAGTACCTTTTATATTATAGCTCTGTTGTCGAGAATGACTTGCCTTTTGAGGGATAAAGTTTGGACTTTCCACGTAGGTGTTCAAGAATAGACCTGCTTGAAAAAGGCTAGTTTTCGCCCACTGCTCTGGGTGCGCCTCTTCAACATAGGCGGATGCGCGCGCTTTGAGGTCAAAATGATAGACATGCGTGTACTTTTCTCTAGACCATTTTGTCACATTGGAGAGAGTAGACAGAACAAATCTCTCTAAGCCGGGCACTTGAGAAGCAGCGTCGATTGCATTCTTCAACTGCTGCAACTCGATTTCTCCGGCCAGCAAGTTTAGCGGCTTCTCGCTGGTGTCTTTGTTTTGTTGAGCAAGGGCGCCGTATATCCCCCAAAAGTCGCTCACAACGAAAACAGCGTTGGCATCTCGAAAAGCAACTGAGAGACTGGAAACATCATCCATGTCGGCTTGGACGACTTCAACACCGCGAGCAGAGAGTGCCTTGGCTTTTGCGCTGGAAGGATTCCGAGTAATCCCCCTAACTCGCCATGCTGTATCTTTCAGAAAAGTGTTGACAACAGAGCTGCCTTGGTTCCCAGTCGCACCCAAAACTACAATAAGTTTTTGGTCGGCCATGGTGACGTCTGTCTGGAGGAAAGGATTTGCGCTTGTTTCGCCTCCAGTTATGTTGTTTTCTAAGATGTAAAGCCGCTGAACGGTCCAACTTTCCATTGCTCTGAGAATCAGATATTTATATCCCGCCTTCTTTAGCTTTATGGAGATTATATGGCCATGTTTGCTCCATAAATCTTTCACAGCTCCTGAATCACGAGTTTTCATGGTAGCCCCGATGTACGTGCTTCTAATTGAACAGTTTGATCAAGAGCCGACAGAACGAATTGTAAATCATTTGTAATCGTTCTAGATTAATAATGAGGGGTCCAGAGTTAGAAATCTTAAACAGAGATTTGACGAAATCTGCCAATGGCCGCAACAAGGTACATCTTTTCGAGCGATTTGCGCTGTTGGCGTGCTGAACTGCAAAGTATCTCGTTGCGGAGTGGAGTTGCGGATTTGCGGCCGCAAAACGCGGCCGCAACTCCCGGCCTAGTTTATGGCTCATGCAAAGTCCGCCACAAAGATCATCGGAATCGTAGGATTGGAGCCTTGTTCTTGAGCGATTAAATTGGAAATATTTAGTAATAGGGGGGCCGAAATAGATACAGCTCTCAAAGTTGAGTAGGTCACCTTCTTGCCTGTCCAAGCATCCAAGTACCTGGGCGAGTGCAGCTAAACCACCAGGTGGCGTCGATTAAGGTAAACAAAATAGGCTTATTAACCGATCAAAAGATGATCTCAATCGAATAATAAGGCTTCAATTCGACTACACGGCTTCGAATGATGCTATCGATGTCGTTACAACCTACTAGCCGCGTTCAGATTAAGGGTTTTGTTTAAGCTAGGTGATCTTAATCAGTGCAGCAGCTTTTCTTACCACTATGAACGCTTTGAGTGGGCATCACAGATTTTGAATGGTAGTGAAATGAAATAGCCTTATTCTTAACACCCTCTGACTAGGCTTCGAAACACGTAAAAGCGTTGTCTTTTCCGCAATTTCTTCCAAAACCTTTTTCTTGCGGTTCATGTGCTTTCTTTGTAGTAAGGAAAGGCCGTGGAGTTGGTCAACTCTGCGATGATTGGGTTGAGAGGCCACCAATGGGTCCGTGTCAAAGACAAGAGTGAAAACCCCCAGCAGACCTAATAAGACACATGCATATATTGACAGAGTAAAAACCCATCAGCCCGTGTCACCTGAAATAGTCCACGTCCAACAGCGCTCATATCAAACTGAACCAGACTAGAACATTACGTGGTTGATGAACCAAGTCCATTACTCATGATGCTTCGTTTACCGAACGAACTTGTTCCGGCTATTGCAGCGCAGCTGGATTCGGAGAGAGATATTAACGCGTTGGCTCGAACGAACCGGCGATTGCTTTCTTGCCTTGACCAATTTCTCTATCACCGCAACATACAGTATTCTAATAGCTCAGCACTTAAATGGTCTGCCACCTGCGGCCAAGAGCGAACAGCAAAGAAAGCGCTCGACTACGGCGCGTCGAATATTGGCGAGGCGCTGGTACTATCAGCAGAGAATGGACGCGAAAGAGTAACCAGGATTTTGCTCACATTCTACGCGCCTGATGAAGATGGAGACACAGAACACGGACAAGATGCTCTTTCACGGGCCGTCACCAGGGGTTTTGCGTCTATTGTCAAGCTTCTGTTAGACTCGGGAAAGGTCGAGCCTGATTCAAAGGACAGTGATGGCCGAACACCGCTATCGCAAGCTGCATCCAAGGAGGACGAGTTGATTGTACGGATGCTACTGGACACGGACAAAGTTGAAGTCGATTCCAGGGATAAATTTGGCCGAACACCGCTATCATATGCTGTATCGATGGGGTCTGATTCTATTGTCGAGTTGCTACTAGATACGGGAGAGGTCGAAATCGAGTCGAGGGATAACTATGGTAGAACACCCCTATCACAGGCCATCTCTAGGGGCTATACATCTATCGTCTGGTTGCTGCTAGACTACCGGAAGGCCAAAGTCGATTCATAGCCAAGTCGATTCATAGCCAAGTCGATTCATAGCCAAGTCGATTTATAGCCACTATGAGACGGGCTGCCAAATGATACCAAATGACGCCAAAGATGTATGGAATGTCCATACTTGCAGCCTTCAATGCGTCCGTTATCAAGTGTACAAGACACCACATAGCACCACTGTAGTGAGTATCAAGATGACACAATGTTTGATTTGGTACTCTAGGTCTGCTACATAGGTATCTGCCTACATATAGTTGACTTGCATTATAGCAAGAAATATCAATCGTCCGTAAAATGCCTCTGGCTTCCAAGCGACTGCCTTACAAATTCAGCTTGTTGCCTAGCACGACCCTGTAGGCCTGCTTCCCGCCCTCCGTGCCGCTCCAATTACCACATCACTCCATCAGTAAAAAGATGCGATAGCATGAACACCTTGCTTGCAGCGGTGGTAGAGTTGCACGAAATCACAAGAGCAAAATGTTACCTTAAAAAAGAAAAAAAGAAAGAAAAAAAGAAGAGGAAGAAACCAACAGGGCATACAGCATCCACTTGGAACCCAACTAATACAGGAACCCGCCCTGTTGCGCAATTTGAGGCCAACAGCGTCGTGACGATACATAAATAAGTTAATTTACTGGCCTGAAAGTGTGGACCTCTCCCTCGGTTCCTGAATGAGCAATGGTCCGGGAAGCTGGCCACGTATCCACCCCGTGTTGGCCACCGTGAGGCTTGCGGCCAAGTCTCAGAGAGCAAGTTGCCGCTGAGGCCACTTGTTTGCTGCCAGTACCAACGAGATTAATGTGGGAAATCAAGTACCTTTTTAAATTCATCCCTGGGCGCTAAAAGCACATGTCACGGCAATTCAAGTCCAACAGCTTTGATATAATGTGCATCTCCCCAGCATCTCCCTCGGCGTTGTTTTGTTTGCAAGTCGCATCATCTCCGAACTGAACCACCACATTTCGCTGCTCCAACCTGGACACCATTGCGAAGCCTGCCAAAATGTCTGAGGAGCAACATGGGCACAGCAGAGCAGATGTTGAGCGTTTCTCTGACGCTGAGAAGCCCATCAACGCCGCGGTAGATGCAGACGTGGTGGACTTTGATGGGCCTGACGATCCAGACAAGGCCATGAACTGGCCGCCAGGCAAAAAGGCAGCTACACTTGGCATGGTGACAGTCATGACACTCCTCTCGTACGTTTACGTTTTCTACACCATCCTCTGGCGGCAATGCCCAGCATTAACTCGAGGCTTGCATCTCCTATTCCAGACCAATAGGCTCGACAATTAGTGCCGCGGCGGCAAAAGACATTATGCTACACTTCAACTCCACCAGCAACACGCTCTCGGCTTTTGTGACGACAGTCTATCTGCTGGGCTGGGTATGTGGTCCAATAGTCATTGCACCGCTGTCCGAACTGTATGGCCGCGCCGTGCTGTACAAGGTCTGCATCGTCCTTTTCCTGCTATTCAACGTGGCGTGCGCCGTAGCAAACAGCCTTGCGTCGCTGATTGTGTTCCGGCTCCTGGCCGGCATCGCCAGTTCATGCCCGGTCACCCTCGGCACGGGCTCCATTGCAGACATGATACCACCCGAGAGGCGTGCCGGAGTCATGGGAGCATATGTCATCGGGGCTGTCCTGGGGCCGACCATCGGACCAATCGCCGGGGGGTATCTGACGCCTGCGTTGGGGTGGCGATGGGCTTTCTGGCTGATGGCAATTCTCGTGGCTCCCCCGTGTCTTGTTGTGGTGCTGTTTATGCGGGAGTCGTATCCATCCGTGCTGCTTCAACGCACGGCGATTCGTCTACGCAGGGAGACGGGCAACCCAAGGCTTCGCTCGGCTCTTGACACGGGCAGAACCACACGCGAGTTCTTCCGTTGCACCATCTTTCGTCCATTCAAGATGCTGATGATGCCCATCGTCTTCTTACTGTCGCTCTACACCGCGACTGTCTACAGCTACTTGTACCTTTGCTTCACCACTTTCCCGCAAGTTTTCAGTCTTCAATACGGCTTCGGAAGCGGCCCATCCGGCTTGGCCACCCTCGGCCTGGGTGTGGGCTCCATATTGGGAGTGTTATTCTGTGGCGGCGTGTCGGACAAGCTTTCTGTGTACCTGGCCAAGAAACATGGTGGCGAGGTCAAGCCAGAATATCGTCTTCCCTCCATCATTATCGGCGGGGTCTGCGTGCCGATCGGGCTTTTTTGGTATGCCTGGACAGCTGAGAAGAGATTGCACTGGATCCTGCCCATCATTGGAACAGGCTACCTTGGTGCCGGTATGATCATCACATATGTAAGCTATCCTTCTGAGCCGATACTCGCAAAAGCCATGTGTCTCATTTCTAACCGTTGCGCAGATGGCCGCCACTTTGTATCTCGTCGATGCATATACTGTCTATGCCGCCTCAGTTACCGCGTCAAATACCGTCTTCCGCTGTCTTTGTGCAACTTTCCTGCCACTTGCCGGTCCTGCGTTATACGAGAGGCTTGGAGTTGGCTGGGGGACTTCGCTACTTGGCTTTGTTGCTGTTGCTTTTATACCCCTCCCTTGCTTCTTTTACATGTATGGTGAAAGAATCAGAGAGTCAAAGCATTCTCAGGCCCAGTTCTCAGCTATTTAGAAGCTCGGATCTTTACTCTTGCGCAGCAACAAAGCCTTGGGAGGATCAGACACAAGAGCACAGCAGCTGCTGAGGGCTGACTGCTTACACACCAAGGTCCAGGTTAACGACACTCATGCAGCATCTCGGCCACGATATAACGCGGTTTCACTCAGTGTACCATGTGCTATTGGAGATTGTTGGAATTAACCAACCGTTGGTAAGCGTCTATCTAGTCAACAGAGCAAAGAAAAATACCATTAGAAAGATTTTATACGCAAAATCGACGTGGCAATCTTTTCTTCGGGCGCGCTCTATTGTGCTAGTGCTTCTATTTGGTATTCTATGTATATCTACCCTATGTACCTATATCTACCCTATGTATATCTACCCTATATCACCAGTTCAGTTCTCACGTGTGCAGGTTATTATGATTTTGTAAGTATATATATTTAAAAATACAACAGTACTCGACAAAAAAAAAAGTGTATACACGGTATCCAATCAAGACAATATCCTTACATGAAGCCCATCTGTGTCCAAAACTTCAAAGACGAAGCCCGTAGCTTGTACAAATAGTAGATCCTCCCGCCCTATAACTTTGTTGCAGCGATACTGACAAATCTGTGCCTGATAGGTTGTCTCTATAGCGGCCATTTTATGATGTGCAAGCAAAGTGCCGACAACCTTTTCGCCAGCTTGTACAGAAACTTGCAGCTACACTCATTGCATCACGACTCCCATAGATTCGTCTATAATCCTGCGAGCTCGAGCTTCATCACGTGGTATGATTTGTACTCCAAACTTTTCTGGCAACACTGAAAGCCCTTCTGTCAGCTTATTGGGATCAGGGAGGATGGGCTTTCCGGCAGAGTCAAGCTCGGGAAGAAAGTCAAAAGCCCAGAGCATCCGCGAGATGGCAATAAAGAGACTCCTCTCAGCAACGTGAATGCCAAGACAAATCCTGCGGCCGCTCCCAAAAACGTAATGATCGCGCTGAGACGGATCCGGATTTAATGCTGAGTCTGCTGCCGATGCCATGTCGCCTTCGAATCGCTCTGGTTTAAATGTCCGCGGATCAGGATACCGTTGCGGGTCCATGTGGATGGTGTAAACATTGTTGACCAGTCCTGCGCCAGCCGGAATGCGATATCCCAGGTACTCGTCTTCGCGATTGGATGCGTGTGGAACTCCTGCAAGAAGCGCAGTTGGCATCCATCGGAGTGACTCCTTGACACAACCGCGGATATATGGCAGGCTATCCTCATCATCCAGTGTTGGAAGGCGATCGGAGCCAATGACTCGATCTATCTCTTCCTGTGCCTTGCGCTGTACCTCGGGGAATAATATCATCGCTTGGATGAAGCCGTACAGAGTTGAAGACGTTGTGTCTGAGCCTGCCTCGAGAAAGCTTCCGGCGACGTATGCAGCTTGTTCATCTGTGAATCCATTCTTCTCTTGCTGCTGTGCCAGAGAAACACAGATACAGTCTTTGTACGTGCCGCTTTTGTAGCTCTGTTTCGCTTCTAGCCACAGATTCAGGTACATATCCATCTCTTTCTTGTGCAGTTCCTTGGCCTGTCTCTTCATTGGGGTCATGAATTCAGGAAGCCATCTTAAGATTGGAAAAAAGTCCAAGAATGCAGATGCGCCGGTCTGAGTGATTTTTCCAACGTCACTAAAGCCTTTGAATACCTGGAGGAGTCTTGGATCATCGTGTCGTACTGTTCGCCAACTAGTTTATACTCGTAAATAACCGTGCCATAAGTGAAACACAAAGGACTCATTGACTTACCCGTAGATCATGTGGGTTGACAAAGAATTGCTATATCTGCGCAAACTTTCGAGTATTAAATCTGGGCGATCTAATATTTCGCGCAGCAACTGCTTGCTTTCCAGGATTTGATATGGCACATATGCTTTTGATGATTGTACGTTGAGCAGCTGGTGTCCAAGTCTCCGAAACTAACATTTGGTGAGTATTAAGCACATTCATCATACCACATTTTGGCAGAGCATCAGACTCAGCTTACCATTCGCCAGTTATCGCCGTATCCCTATTTTTCGTCTTAGTTGAAGATAGATTTACGTGCCACAGTGCATGAACCTTACCAGCATCAAGAATCGATAACCGCCACTACAGAGCGTCTGTCCAATGTACATCTCAAGACGATCACTATGGATGCCACCACGCTTATCCAGCAGTTCTTTAATCGCCACATCGTTGGACAACACGATTAATACTTGCGTCCCTAGAATAAGACTATACACTGGGCCGTACTCTTGTGCCCATTTTTGAAACTGCAAATGCCCTTGAGACGTGGGGAGCTATGCACATGAGAAGTCGTTAGAGATTTCTCTGTGGTTTGTGCAATCTTCTCGTTGGAGATTGACATACCTGATGGATATTTCCTAAAATAGGCAATGTGGGAGGCCCTGGAGGAAAGTCCGCCGGTCGCCTGCCAATACGGCTCAGCCTTCTTATTGCCTCAAAAAGGACCGCAGCGCATAAGGCGTAGACGAGAATAGGTGCACCCATTTTGACAATGCCAATGATGAGTGTAAATGAATGTGTAACTGTATGTGTGTGCCGCTTACTTTAACTTCAAGTAGAAATACAAACAGCAAGGTGACAAGTATAAAAGCGTAATTTACTAATACTAACTGACAATCTTTTGCTCACTATCCCTGCAGTCACCGAGCCTAGAATGCTTCCCCACAGTCATACCTTCCGTTCCACTAACTCTTATAGTTTAAACGTCTGTTTAGCTTGTTGAAAAAATAAACAATTGCTTAAAAAAAGGGTGTGCTAGGTATATGCCACATACTCCATGTCTTGAAACGCTTCTATTTATACTTACTCATCATCATGGTTTATAGCACTTTTGATAAGTGATGAGTATTAAATGATTTGCCGAGTGAGCTGATTTCAAGCAGTATATTGATTGCTTCTGCCAGGGTAACCTGCAATTTCCAAACGTAGAAAATGATTACGATCATGACATGCGGGCCTTTAATTAATTAACTGTCAACCTTTCGTTTTCCGCCTAGCTAGAGTCTCCTGTTCAGTTCGTAAGACATTAGCGTAGGAGGGAACCGATTAGTTTCAGTTTCCTTCAACAACGGCAATCCCATGCACTAAGACTAATCAAGTAATGATGAAAATAACACTCCAGTCTCTTCTAGACGCCGACGAAACTGGATAGGCTATAACCTTTGCCGAGTCCGACGACCAGCGGGCGATCAGGATCTAGTTAAGTTACACAGGGAGCCCTGCTCCTTGTTATAGGGGCTATAGCAATATCTTGAACCCTGCCGGCAGGGGTAGCGATCCTTCTCTGCAGCGGAACCGTGGTCCGTTCAGCTATGTGGATAAAGGATCAACAGGCAACATACAACAGTGACAACCTTGCAATTCAACTTACAAACCCTTGGTCATCATGGCACTCCCTGAATTGAAGCCCGATCACAATGGAACATATTCTACCGTTGATACGATCCGTGCGTCAATAAGCCTGCGGACCTGGAGAATGTTTAGGATCGCCGTCTCGGCTTAATAGAGAGGCCGGCTGTATCTTGAAACGGTTTAACAAAATTTGTGAACAAAGTAGCATCGGAGCGCTTACATGATCTGTCATTGTGTCACTGTCAAAGGTCCCTGCATGCTCGCCGACGGCGGTTGAATACGAAGACTAAACACGCTTGCACTTTGGCTTCTAGCTATTCATCCTCGCAACTATTCTTCCAGCACATCTCATTGTGAACAGCTAGTTTCATCGACAAGTTCTATCCAGCGTTTACCAGCTTTTCACTATGCCTGGCATTCTGAACCAGACTCCTACGCCTGAATATGGGCGCAGGTTAATACCCAACGTCATCGATGAGCGAGCCGAGAGCGATCCAACAAAGGCATTTGCATCTATCCCGCGATCCAAAGACCTCGCAGATGGCTTCGTTGATATCACGTATGCGTTGGTTGCCAATGCCATCAACCGAGCGAGTTGGTGGCTTTCACACTCGATGGGCAACACGGAAACATCGGAAGTGTTTGCATACTTGGGTCCAAATGACTTGAGATATCCAATTCTGTTGGTTGCCACGATGAAATGCGGCTATCAAGTATGTAAAAGAAAGACTAGAAAAGTTGAAGGCAACTCGAGCTAAAACAATGTGATTTTGACAATTATAGATGATGATGCCATCGCCTCGTAATTCTGCAGAGTATCAACAAGAGCTCCTTCGTCGCGCCGGATGTCAGACACTTTTCTGCACCCGTGGTTTAATGGCCAAGTTGTCACCGGTGGTAGATGATCTAGACATCTTTTGCAAAATTGCACCTGATTTGGATGAGCTGCTTGATCCCACACCTGTGGCCCCGTTTCCTTATGAGGCGACGTATGATGAAGTGAAGAAGAATCCATTTCTTATCCTCCACACATCTGGGTCAACTGGTAAGTCCCTGTCAATGGAGTTTCATAGTATGATTCTAATTTGAGGCACAGGACCACCAAAGCCAATCACTTTGACCATTGAGTGTACTACGACAGAGGATACACATCGTCTTCTTGATGACCCCGAGGGCCGACTATGGTGGCGCCTTTTTGCAAACCGGCGATATTTCATGGGTATGCCATGTTACCATGTAAGCAGCGTCCTTCTCACGCTATGAAACGGTCTTACTAAGACAATTATCTAGTCTGCCGGTGTCTGGTTCTCGCTCTTCAAGCCCGTCTTCTTCAACTCGACGGCTGTATTTGCACTAAGCGACAAGCCTCTTACAGCTTCCATCGCCGAAGCTGTGCACCGAACCGCTGAAGTCTCTGGCGGAATCTACCCGCCCTCTGTTTTGGAAGAGATTAGTCGAACAGAGTCTCTCAGTGGAGTCAAAGGCCTGGAGTTTGTAGCCTATGGAGGTGGCCCTCTTTCCAAATCAGCGGGAGACCGTCTCTCTAGCATAACCATTCTTCACAACTTCATTGGCTTCACCGAGAATAGCGCACCTCCGCGGTATGTTATGGAGCCAGAGGATTGGAACTATTTCGAATTTCATCCGGCATCTGGATATTTCCCAGAACATCTGCACGACGACCTCTACAGGATGTCTTTTAAGCGTCTTCCTGAATATGAGTTTGTGCAAACCGTGTTTCGGCTGTTCCCAGAGCTGGACAAGTATACCTCTGGCGATATTTTGAGTCCACATCCAACAAAGCCCAATCTTTGGACATATGGCGGCCGCACCGACGATCTCATTGTTCTATCTACAGGAGAAAAGTTCAATCCCATCCCTGCTGAGCTGATGCTCAAGGGCTGTTCAGTGGTCAAAGACACTCTTATTGTTGGCGACGGACGGAGCCAAGCCGCACTGCTTGTTGAGTGTGATGAAGAGGCTACGGCTGGAATGCCACAGGAGGAGGTTTTGAATGAACTATGGCCGTTTGTCCAGAGAGTCAATCAGACGCTGCCTACTCAAGGGAGACTGCTAAAGACAAATATCGTCTTTGCATCTACTGAAAAGGAGTTTTCACGTTCGCCAAAAGGGTCTGTGCAGCGAAAGGCTACTGTGGCAAATTTTGAGCCTGAGCTTAACAGCCTTTATGCGGGTAGCAAATCTTTACCAAATGGTAATGGCCATATTCAGTTGACGAAGAAGTCGCTATCCAACGGAAACAGTCAGGATCAATTGACTAAGAGAACACTGTCAAATGGAAATGGTCACAACCAGTTGACGAAGAAATCGTTGCCAAATGGAAACAGTCATAACCAGTTGCCTGAAGTCAACGGCTATAGCCATGGCACCAGACTTGGGCTGAAGATTGACCCTGTGACGAAATCTCCCAGCCAGTCATCAAATAGCGACACCAGCTCTGCAGTAACAACGCCAGTATCTCCCAGAACAGTGAAACCGGCCACAGAGCTTAACATTGACGATACCACAACGGTTTCAACTACGACTGTATCTCAGCATCAAGAGCACTTGCCTGCCAAAGAAAACGTCGATAAAAAACAAAAGCCAACGACCATGGTGAGCGAATCGCAAGCTATCAGCTTCATCCGCAAAGCTTTGGAAGCTATATGTGGTATTCGCAGCAAGAACAACAACGACGACTTGTTCGAACTCGGACTTGACTCTGTAATGGCCTTGCAGTTGTCAAACGAGCTCCAGAGAATATCGCCCTCTTGGCCGCAGGAGAGAGACGCTTCTTTGCAGTTGATCTACGCAAACTCGACCATTAAAGGCTTGGCACAAGCTATAAACCGGTTGAATGAACTCTCAGACAACGCGACGGACTCGTCCCACTCAAAGGAAGTGAAAGTAGTCAGCGTCGCTAAAGAGGTTGTTAAAGAGGTCGCTACTCCGAAGAGGCTCGATGTTGTGGAAAGCCAAGCACCCAATACCATTGAGAAGTTGATCCAAACATACACGTCAAATCTTGAAGAGAGTGCTCCAAAGCGAGAAATCACTGTTGCTCTTACGGGCAGTACTGGAGCTGTGGGAAGCCATTTACTTAATCGGTTAATGGCAGAGCCAAATGTGACAAAAGTATTCTGCCTCAATCGTTCTACAGACGGAGAAAAGGCTCAAAGAGCGGCATGCGAGAAGAACGACATCAAATGGGCGCCGGGAAGCAAACCAGTTGAGTTTCTCACAGTTGATCTGTCACAGCCGCATTTAGGACTCAAGTCAAACCAGTACGCTGCTCTTCAAGATGAAACTGACATCATCATTCATAATGCTTGGAAACTTGACTTTTTACACACGGTACAGCATTTTGAAAAGACTCATATTGCAGGGGTTCGGCATCTCGTTGATCTTTCTGCAAACTCTGAGCGTCGACCACGCATTGTTTTCATCTCTTCCATTGCCAGTGTCCTTGGTTGGAAGGAGAGTCGGAAAGTGCCAGAGGAGATTATTCTCTCTGACTCTGTCACCGCAAGCAATGGCTATGCCCAATCCAAGCATATAGCTGAAAGAATTCTATATGAAGCTTCGCAAACTGTTGGCATTCAGATCACAGTCGTACGACTGGGCCAAATCGCAGGACCTACCAGTGCTGGGGCTGGCAAATGGAACTCGCTTGACTGGGTACCTCAAATCATATACACGTCTAAGTCGCTTGGAGCCATACCAAAGACTTTGGGCATGGCTGATGACGTTGATTGGGTGCCAATTGACCGCCTGCCCGACATTCTGGTAGACTTGATCCATCATGACCTGAAGAAGCCCGAGAGGTTTCAGATCTATCACGCTGCAAATCCCAATCCAGTGTCATGGGGATCTCTGCTTCCTGCGATATGCCACCGCCTTGGCCCTGACGTCGAGTTGGTAACTTACCAGCAATGGCTAACAATGCTGCGCAATAAGTATGGCCATACCGAAGACGTGAAGGACTTTCCAGCGCTTCGCCTCATGGGCTGGTTACGGCAGATGGATGCTCCTATGGGCGTCAAGTTACCAAGTCTTTCTACGGATGTTATAGCCCAGTCGTCGAGCACCTTTTCTACCCTGGAATCAGTTCGCGGTACGTGGATGGAGAATTGGATGGAGTCTTGGGGGCTTTGATCAAGCTTCAATCATATCGTTGTTGCAAAGTCGTTTATACGGCAGTCTAACTCGTTTTTGTTCACTCTTTTGTTTCCTTTGTCAAAAATATTGTCCCTTTCAATTCTCTGTTTTACTATCATTGTATTTATTTACTTTGAAATTCCAATGTTCAGTTTCTTCAATGTGGTTTTTTATACCTTCACATCTAGTAATAGGTCCGCTAGCATTCGCTCTATTTTTATGTCACATGTAGTATATTAGGCAATGAAAATGGAGTTTCCACTCCCAACTTCGTATTACCTATCATTTTATGAGGGGAAGACTCAAGGTTCCTTCAGATCGTGCCCGTGAACAACGAAACTCTATAGCTCTTTTACATACCCTGGAAAGGTTACCATAGTGAGTCATGCAGAGTCAAGACGAGGATTTAGCCGAGGCCATCACAGGCGGGGTGGATAAGCGCAGTATAGACCGAGGAACTCCTTTCTCCATTGCATGATGAGCTTTGTTATCCTTAGTTTCGGCAAAAGTTAGGAACGCGTGGATGATCAAAGCAAGCGGAAATGATAGATGCCTGCACAACCAAGAAGATGGCACTGCCAATATGAGTAATCACAGCTTACGTCAACATATAACGCAATGCACTGTTTAATATAAAATCACCGATCCTTGCCTTCAGCTTAGCTTTGTTCTAATCCTAAGATCCTCCGATTGCGCACTTTTACGGAGTACCCCGTACTAGGGTCTCTACTCTGCCTGTAATTACTCCATCAAGTAGTTGGTAGTCAGCCCCGAGGACCCTGAGCCGTCGGCCATCCCTGAGATGGATCAGATTTGCCGCCCTGGCATATTGCTATAGACCCCTGTAATCTTCGGCAGTACTCCGTCAACGGCAGTCTTGGCCGCGATCCTTATATTGTGGGTATCTGACATCTCGGAGCTAGTGTTCGAGACCTTTGGCAGCTTGAAGAATAATCAGTAAAGCAATTTATGCCAAGGCACTAATTATAGATGTATGTTTCCGTTTGCAGTAAATGCAAGATACCAAGCTTTATGAAGGATCATTAAACGGAAGAGCGGAAGCTATTGATGCCCTCAGCTTATTGAAGGGGGACCCTAGACTTTTGCTGGGCTTTCCACTTGGCGGAGAGAGCAGAATTGGGATCCGTTAACGAATCAAACAGTAAGACATGGCTCCTGTGTTTTTAAGTTTAGGTGATGTTTACAGCATGCACACACTAGCATTGGTAAAAATGGTGTGGATTAAGAAGCATATATTCAAAGTAACCAAGGTTTTCAAACTATCTGCAATATCCTCAGTGACTCTTGCCGTTGATATGCTCTGGAAGCTTCTTGCGAGGAGGAATAGGCTATTATAGTGATTAGTAAGAACTCATTCAAAAGACACGAACATATAATTGAGTCTCACCTTGGGATCCTCCACGTAATCAAAGTGGCCCGAGTTTTGAAGGAGCAGATTGTTCTTGGGGTTAGCTTCCCCGTTGAACCACATGGGGAAACCAATGTCAAACGGTGCGGCATTTTCAATCATGTCCATGTCCTGTTTCGTAAGCTGCAGAGTAAGGGCTTCAATGTTGCTCTTGAGATGTTCGAGCTTCCGGCCCCCGAGAATTGGGAAGACGTATGGCGTCTTGTGCAGCAGGTAAGCCAGAGCCACACTAGTCATCGGAACACCCTTGATGCGGCCAATCTCCTCGAGCACTTTGCCAACCTTCTTATGGTTAGAAGTATCCATAACGGGAATGTTGCGGCCGGAATTTTTGTTCTCCTGAGTCTGAGTCCGCTCGCCGTCAGTCTTGAAGTAGCCACCGCCGAGGGCGCCCCAAGGAGCAAGTGCCATTCCCTCCGCCTTGCACATGGGGATGATGTCTCTCTCAAAGTCTCGCGCGGCACAGGACCAGTGGCCCTGGTAGACGCTAAACTGGCGCAGGCCGTGAGATCTCGCATCTATGACTGCATTAGTTATGCACGGCATCGGCGCATGGCGTTTGCCGCGTGTTTGACAGCGATTCAGGTGTTTGGGAGATCTGAAATGCAACACCGGGGCAGCAACATACATTCGTTGGCACGGGACACAACCCATGCAGGCGTGTCACTGATGCCCAAGTAGAGCACCTTGCCCGAGAGAACCAGCTGGTTCAAGGACTGCATAATCTCCTCAATCGACGTTGTAAAGTCGAACCAGTGGACGTACATGATGTCGATGTAGTCTGTACGCAGCTTCTTCAGACTTGCCTGGACGGTGGTGTAGAGACTCTTGGTCGAGTTTCCGGTGAAGCTGGAGTGCTGGATGCCCTTCTCATGGATGCGGAAGCCGTTGCTGTACTTTGTGGCGATGATCATCTCGTCTCGGCATCCCCGAGATTCGAGCCATTCGCCGATCCAGCGCTCCGAGTTACCGCCTTGGTAGTTGTTGGCGGTATCAATAAAGTTGCCACCATGCTCTTTGAAGTAGTCCATCATGGCAAAGGCCGTTTCCTTGGAGCACGGCCCCAGGAGCTCATCCCTACATTTGTCAGTTGCTGTAAAACACAACAGACTCATCAATGTTATTTACCAGTTGCCGCCAAAGTTCATAGTCCCCAGGCATAGTGGACTGACTAGAACACCGGCTCGGGGTGAAAGAACTCTGTGCACGCCAAGTGCTTCAGGCTCCGGTGGCTGAGGAAAGAAAGGCATGTTGTTACTTGAAGAAGATTAACTTGGTAGAAGTCGGGGGGAAGTTGCTTAGGCAGATCCGGGTTTGGGAAACACAACGCGCACTAGATAAATACTTTTCATCAAGCTTGGCATGTTGTACCTTATTGGTAGTTTACATTTACTCCAACGAGGCTGGTGAAACCCTGTAATCACTAATTCTAGACCGTGACGACCAAACGCTGATGGTGGCAAGCAATCCTTCGTGAGAACACTCACCGCACCAAGCACCCCAAGCAGTAATTTCGGCGGCATTTCTCCTGCGTGGAACATCAATTCTCCATGCACACTGTCCAGGTTCTCAACAAAAAATGCTCAAATCCTGGCACCTTTTGCCTTACCGATAATGTCAGGGATGAGCTCGGTGGATTGCTTATTGGCGGAGCCCCGCGAAGAGGATTTCAGATTTCAGATTCATTCTTTTAATTTATTTTGTCTTTCTTCAGGGAATAAAGCACTGACCAATGCCATTTGACAAAAGTTCTCGGCTTCTCTTCCATTCTCCACCATGTTTTCTGTATTTGCATAACGTCTCATACCCTGGATGGGCCGGGATCAGCCTCTAGTACTATATGCCCTTGTCGAGTCTTGTTTGATAGTCCCACTGGCGATCCCATGTAACGGAGTTTCATTGTATCTCAGAACCAACTGCCGTATGAGGCAAGTATCGCTGATCGAAAACAACTGTCAGGATCAGTCAACATACAAACACATACAAGCATATATTAATCAGCCACTACATTGTCCACCCTTGACATGACTATACCAAGGTTACCAGGTAGTTTAGTAACATGTAGCTATAGTCTGTAATATTATAGCGCTATTTCGTAACCTTTCCTTGTGAAAATGATTGCCACAGGTGTAGCAGGCAGGCAACCTTTCCTTGACCCCAAATGTTAGAAATGATACTGGAAAGATGTATGAGATTTTCTAATGGTAAAAACGTAGCCCTTCTAAACTAAAAATGGCTAGGTAACTCGCTTGGCCCTTTGACATGAATTACACCGAACTGTATAGGCTCTGTAAACACATAGTATCTAGTGCCAGAAAGGGACCAGGCGTACAAATCCGGTAATTTCTTTCCTGTGGTGCTGTGTCACCAAAGCTCATTATAAAGCCGCCACTAAAACAGGACATATCGTATTAATCTTCAGTCTTCCTCTTTGTTTTCAGTCAGAAGCCTCACCTCCATCATTACCTAGAGTGCCATCATACCTCGCCACAATGCCGTTTATTCCCTTGGAGCCTGCCGGTGTGCGGCTGCAGTCTCAGAATGTGAAGCGAGGCGTCATGGACCTGAACTCTATGAAGCCTCAGGCTCGAGAGAAAATGAACCTCTTACTCAAGGCCTCAGACCCAGAAGTGATGACCCAGAGGCGCAAGTCTTCTGTGGGATCGCACCCGCCGCCACCCAAGTCTGTGGCAGACAAGGCTGCTGCAGCGGCTGTTGTGCTAAACCGCTACCGTCTTGAATACCAGAATGACTGGGATATACCCGCGTCAATAATAACTTCGAAAGAGCTCATCAAAGGATTCATTGATCGCAAAGAGTCGATTGAGCTCATCTTACCAGCATTCCCTTTCAAGTCGTCCAATAAGTCGCAAAAGGTGCTTGGTTCGCTCCCAGATGAAGCAGAACGCGTCTCATTGTTGCACCTCAATGGACTTTGCGAATCTATCAAGGAGGTGACAGAAAATGACTGTCATCTAACAATCATCTCAGACGGCATTTCGTACAATGGTATGGCGCATCCACGGTACTTATGCCCATCACACATAGACACTTGCTGACCTGGTCTAAGATCTCTTAGATGTCTCTGATAGCGAAGTGTGGACGTACGGCCAGACTCTACGCTCCATGGCTCAGGAAATGGGATGCAGCAACATCCGGTTTTCACGCATTTACGAGCTCTTGGGATCAGAGTACAGCCATTATACCACGTTAACGGAAGAAGAATATCTTCGCATGGTCCCCGAGTTTCGAAAAGGGCTCGAAAGCAATCTGCCCGATGGATACAATGTCGCAGAAGAAATCTCAAATAATGCGGATGTGACCGCTACATACCGCGGCTACAAGAAGTTCCTGGAGACCGAGCGAGACACCAAGCTCAGCCGTTCAAGAGCCGACAAGGAAAATGCCGAGATTGCCAAACGCATGCTGAATCGCGGTAAAGTAAGTCACAGTTACATCTGCATGAGCCATGAATGCTATAGAGCTGGATGCTAACTTGTTCAAGGCTTTCGCGCAAGCTATCAAAAAGAGATTCCCAGTCTCTGTCCGTCTGTCAATCCATCCCTCTACCGATGTTGACAAAATCTCGATTGCGCTGTTGCCCCAGGATAACGATGTGCCCATGACTCCTTGGCACGGCGCCGTTGTACGCAAAGTTGACGGAACTATTACCATGATGCATGCCTACAAGGTTCTGGCTATTTCCCATGAGATTGTTTACAAGAATGGTCGTCCCATGTACTTCAGGGAGCGATCTGACCTCTTCTCGTGGAATGAAAAGGACCTGGACTTTGAGTACCTTTACCCAACGGGCATGATAGTTCGACCACGACACGTCCGATCTGCCAAGAACGCGCTCTGCACTGTCGATATGCAAAAAGTCCGCCAATTGTCTGAGCTATGCTCTCCTGTTGTCCTCCGTGGCTTCACAGACACTAGGGACCGCCGCGCCTTTACCGCCAAAGCATATGACCTCGGCACGGTTTTGCCTTGGAAGTCGGGCGTTATCCAGGAAGTCAAAGATGAGCGCAATTCGGATGCCTCGAGCAACAGCGTTGTTTCAAAAGAGGCTATGCCCATGCACTTTGACGGCATGTTCAAGCTGAAAACCGTCAAGGATGAGAAGACGGGAGAAGACAAACAGGTGTCTGATGTTCCGCGGTTTCAGTATTTTGTTTGCCAGGCGGCCGCGCCTCCCGGAGACGGCTACACGCTGTTTTCGTCTTCGAACCGGTTTGTGCATTACTTGCCGCAGTCTTACAACATTAAGAAGCTGTCCAAGATCCGTTGGAGCACTCATAGCCATGGCTATTTCCAGCATGATATGAGCGACATTTCGCTGATTGTGCCGCATCCCTCGCTGGGGACGCCGTGCGTACGCTGGCTCCAGCCGTGGCCTCGCTGGAAGACTGCTTACAACTCCCATGACATTAGCATCGACAACGGCTCGCAGAATCTCATTTCTCTGGTTGATTCCATTCTTTTTGATCGCCGAGTCTGTCTCTATTTCACCTGGGAAAAGGGCGACATACTGGTGTCTGACAACTTTTCGATGCTGCATACACGCACTGCATTTAGAGGAGATTGTGACCGCGAGCTGTGGCGTATCCACGTTGACTAGATTTGTTTGTAGCGTTAGAACCTAGCATGTATCAGTTTAGAAGTGCCTTGATAAAATATTTGTTGTTCAACTGGACGGTTTAAAAATGTAGGATTATATAGGACATATAGTACCTATTTGTTGTTGAAGTGCGATATTAGCTTTCCCTTTGTCAATAAGTTGAGAGTGCGACACTTGTGGAATTTAACAATTGAAAAGACCAAAAGGCGTCCATCACAACCCGAAATTGGGAGTTTACAGTGGTCTGTATCGCGCTAAAAATAAACCATGTACCGCCCAGCGCTTTTATAACTGACGTCTGCTGAGTGAGCGCTCTCGTAGCCAAAAGAAGCTTTGCAGCAAATTATGCTTGGAAGAATAAAACTCTAAGAAAATTCCCTGGGTAGCTTACAATTGAAGCCTACCTTTCTTTGTATTATAGCTATTCAAGCTAGGGACGACTCATGTGAATAATTATGTAGCTGTTAAGCTCATTATTCACCATTTCTGTCTACTAATGTGTAATGCGGCTAACCTGTGAAACAGCGTTCCCTAGAATCCCTCGGTACTGTTCAGTAATCTGATTAGAAAACATGTTGCTTAGCAATAAAGTGTACAGCTGCATACCACATAGTTACGCCTCAAGGCCAAAGAATTGATCACTAAAAGTAGAAACAAGGGGCAATTACAACGCCAGATTAGTAAACCAATTAATAAAGCACCTCGCAAACTCCCAGGTGAGTAGTCGGGTTACAAATCTGCGTGCCCATCTACAGGTACTTGGTTGAATCTTGTTTCATCTCTTCCATAGTATATTCGAGAGCAACTGGGTAATTTTAACATTAAGCTCCTGAATAGCGATCCTGCCGCTAAAAAGGCTCTTGAGTCTATCCAATTCATTCGTTTGTTTCAGCTGTTAGTCGTCAACGGCACACCGACTCGAACTACAACGTCTACCCAATCAAGAGGAAGCTGCTGCAAAACAAACAACCGCACCTATTTATACTCTATTGTTCCGAAACTTGTCCAATATTTCGACCGAATATTCTTGTCTTTCCATTTATTGGAGTTAAGGTCTTCCACATTACTCAACTTACTCGCTCACGTCAAGACTATCCCCGAATTGTCTCGACCAGGCACACCACGGCAGCAACGGCACGATGATTATCGCCAGAAAGTTTTTGTTGGCGTGTATGCAGTCCAAGGCGCCCTTTAATGCGTAATAATAGCTAATTATACATGTTGAAAAGGCCTGGCGTTGGGGGCAACATCCGCCCGCAGCACCAATATTGTTTCAGTGGAAAATGATCATAGTCACGGCCGTGAAAGTTTCGTCGACAACGATGGCGTGAGAATTCACTACCGGTCATACGGCTCTGGACCTCTTCTCATTCTACAACACGGCTTCCCAGACAGAGAGACGACCTGGAATACCTTTCAAGTCCAAGAGTTTGCAAAGAAATACACTGTTGTGACTCCCACACTGAGAGGCTATCCACCCAGCGATGTCCCACCGGAAAAGAAAGATTATGCTGGTGCCGCCTTTGTTTCCGACATGTTGGCGGTGATTAGAGCAACCGGCAAAGACTCTGCTGTCATTGTGGGACACGATGTTGGAGGCGGCATCGTGCAACAGTTTGCTTCGGCGCATTCGGATATGGTCAAGGGCCTGGTCATGGTCAACACACCAATTATCCCAGTTTTCTTCTCCCTGATTGAGTTTGACAGCCACCAGCAACAGCTCTCGGAATACACAATACCATACTTTGCATACCAGCCAGGCCAGCCGAAAAATGTTTCCACCATAGTCCAGCACATCTTGAACGAAACATATCGCGATGAGATTGCAGACTACCTGCAAAAATCCCCTCTCTATGGGATGCTTGACTTTTACAGCGAAAACTATCCTGCGCCTCCATATGGACAAAATCTCAGTACTGAGGGCTTGACTCAAACTGTACCCAGCGCCATTATCTGGGGAGAGCTCGACCCTTATTTTAGTCTAGCTATGCTCAATGGCCTCACAGCCTGGTTTGACTATGGATTCAGATTAGTCACAATTCCAGGAGCGGGTCATTGGTCATTTAGAGACGAGCCGGCTCGATTCAATGCTGAGTTAGAGTCTTTTCTCGATATCCTTGAGTACTAGGACTAGAAGTCAAATTATCGATGGCATCATCACCGGTATAGATATTATTTCGCAGGGATGAGATGTTGCTCGCCCTACTGAGAGTTTATCATACTTTACCTTGTATTTTGAATACTAATAATAGCTATTCTTCGACAGATTCCACATAGATTCCGCTACCACAGTGCGTAAGTGTACGGTAGCTTATTTTACCCCCTTATCTACACGTCTCGAATAATGAGTTTTTGCTGCACGAACTTTGTGTTTACAAGTCATGTTCTTATGTTTCTTTTCCTAATTAACGAGGTATATAATTTGGAAGGGTAATGCTTTTTTTGCTTTGAGACAATATTCTATTTATAATTCAGGATGCGATGTAATGGAACGCTATTGTATGTGGAGGAATTCTGTAATTCATGCTGTAACTGGTGACTGAAGAACCAAGTAATTATCCTTGTAGATGACTGTGAGGAGCCCTTTGTGAATAGATAAAAGAAAGTCGTGTGAGCTGAAATGCATTGCATGAACACCAAGGACGGCCAAATCGACATCCTGCCGACGCTCGTGTAAGATACTCCGCAAATTGATTCAGGCCACAGTACTTTTCAGGCCGGTGAAGAAGTCACCAATCTATATGATTAACATTACTTTGCATTCAATTTATAATAATGTCTAGTAATATATAGCCCTTTTCTTATTGGCTTCTTGGTCCGTAGTATATCCGCGAGTATATAACTTACAAAAGTTGGGTTGTAACACAGGGAGGCTGGGCAATAACAAATAACATTATTGTTAATGGGATCTAACTGCGGGGTAATTCGACCAAACTTAACCTCAAGGAATAAAGTTCCCTTTAACCTTTTTATCCTTCAGGCACTTGACTACCTGAATACCTACCTAGTGCCTCTAGTCTGGATCTATCACATGTAGATACATCTACATCTTTTATCTGAGTGATAGGTTTCGACGCGTTTGATAAGGTATCACTTCGCTATATCATCTAATATTTCAATCAATCAGGCTTTGGCACCAATTGGACTTTATCAACGACACCCGAAGGTTCAAATCAGCATCCTATATCACCCGACTATCCTATCTGAAGAGTTCTGTAAGATATCTCGACTTGTCTTCACTATTCTCGATGAGATGAATCCACCCAGCTCTCTACCGGAAGCTGTAAAAGAGGAATTGTATTCGATAGATGATGGTACGTTTTCCAGGCCTTTCCCTCCGTCAAATATATCTATTCTTCTCCTCTCACCTAGGATTCGTTATTAACTACATGTGGTAGCACTCGGCGAGCTGTTTGACAGGTTGCTAGACATTCTCGCAGACACGGACCAGTTCGGGCGCCAGGCAAGCGCAAGCATCTTTATCGTATACGCACACGACAGCGATATAGCGGGAAATGCTGGGGCGCAGTGCGTGCGAAGCCTCATCAAGTGGCTCCTTGTAATACGGTCTCGGCTTCTGTCTGACAAGTCACCACTGAGATGGCCTCGAGAAGGGGGAATTGCCGTCGCTCAAAACATTCTTTCCAACCAGTTTTGCCTGTTACCGCGTGGCGGTATAACCAGCGATACGGAAGAGGAAATCACCAGCGTTGACAAGGTCATACTATGCGGTTCAAATGTACTCAAAAAGTATTATGAGCACGCCTTCACTGATTCTTACGTCGACAATATTGTGGCATGTTATGAGGAGGCACAAAACCGAAACATGCAGTCAAAAGACATTCAGGATAAAATCCGAACAATTGTCGAGAGTCATTGCAATAGCGATGGATTCCACCATGTGCTTACCGAACTTGCATTCCTCAAAATCAGACGTTCCGCTTCTCCTGGAGACAAGGGCAATATCATTCCTGTCACACTTGGTGGAGATGGGATGAAATATTTATCATTCATCGATAAATGCGATCTGTTCCTGAAGCTCGACTCCTCTCAAGGACTGGCTTCGCAGCACAAGCTGTTCTTTAAGCTCCTTCGGCAGTTGTATACAAGCTCGCACGCACATAAAGTCGTCGATGCGTTTCATGAATGCTATACAAATGCCAATGAGCGCTTGAGGGGGGAGAAGACAATAACACAAAAGACGTTCAGGAAAATTGCGTACGCGGAGATTTTTAAGGCCCAAAATGTTGTGCTGAAGGTTTTCAAGACTGCAGTCCGTGATGAAGAGTGGATTCTGAGAGAGTGGCAGCAGCGAACTAAGAGTGGTCGGTATACTTTGATTGTCACCATAGGTTCATAACTAATAAATATGAAACAGCTCTCTCTCAACGCGACGAGATCATTGATTGGCTCCCAAAATTCCACGACGTTACAGATACCCACAGAGACAACTTGCAACAACGACAAGGTCAAACAGGAACCTGGATACTGGAACATGAGAAATACCAGAAATGGAAGGAATCCGAGCCAGCAAGCTCTTCGGGATCGGCCGAGCAACTCGAAGCTAATAGACTTTGGTGTAACGGCAAGCGTGAGCCTACCAATGCAGCACGACTCTTTGACCCCAAGCTGACAGAGATCCTACAGCTGGTGCCGGCAAGACAATTATTAGGTAAGTAATAAGGGTTATTTATGTGTCACCCAAGACACGGACTAATATAAGAAAAACAAAAACAGCTCAATTATCATTGAGGATCTTAAAAAGCATATCCTCAATCCGTCAGTTGCCATGGCGTAGGTATTTTGCAAGCACAGAGAGGATCAGACGGCCTCGAGCCTGATGCTGAGCTTGGTTGCGCAGCTTGCTCACCAGCATTACCGGCTTTCGCCAAATCTCACCACTGTTGCGGGGACGTATAGAAACAGAAAGCCACCGGTGGCTCCCAATTTGATTGAATGCGAGGAAATGCTCGACGACGAGGTGCGCCAGTTTCAAAAGGTGTTTTTCGTTGTGGACGCTTTGGACGAGCGTCTCGATAACGATTATGCCTATCAGTTGCTGAGCATCCTTCAAAAGACCAAGGCCATTGTGCTCATCACATCTAGGGACGTGGGGTCGATCGGATATTTTCTCGCAGGCGCAGATTCTATTCGGATCATGGCAAAACCGGATGATGTGAGGGCCTATCTCAACTCCCGTTGCATGGAACCACAGGCCTACAGACTTCGCCAAACCCTGCAAAAAAGCTTTATTCACCAATCGTATATTGTAGAAGAAATCGTCTCAAAGGCGGATGGAATGTGAGATGTCTCTTCCACTCTTTTCCAACACTGACAAGGAGTGACTTCCTGACCGCTTCTCAACCAGGTTTCTACTCCCTCAAATGCACATGAATCTTCTCATCAATAAAGTAAAGCATTACCCAACCGCATTTACACTCAAGAGGGCTCTATGCATGTTGCCTCCTGAATTACACAAAACGTATGACAAATACATAGAGAGGATTCTCCAAAGCGACTCGGTCGAACATGCAAGCGATGTCCTTTCCTGGATCCTTTTTGCAAGGCAACACGTCGGCATAAAAGTGATTCAGGAGGCAATCTCACTGCAACACTGCGGCCGGATCGATAACCTGATCGACCGTAACGACCTGCTCGGATACTGCATCGGTCTCATCATGGAGAAAGATCCATCAGGGGAGACTGTAGCGTTTGTACATCCGGACATGGAACGGTATTTTCGCGACCCCACAACTAGCGACAAGATCAAGGCCTGGTTTCCAAACGGCCAACAACGCATTGCGGACTCGTGCCTCCAATCCCTGCTTTTGGACCCGGAGGCTCAAGCCGACTCCCCATTGTGGAGCTATGCCGCCAAATACTGGGGTCACCATATCGAGGACAAATATACAGAGCTCAAGCCTTTGATTTCAGAGTACTTGTCACAGTCTGACAAGGTCAGTCGTGCCATGAGATACGCGATGCAGCACCTGGGGCTAGTACTCAGGGTCGAGATCTTCAAATTTGGCCAAGCAGGGTTCGACTATCTGTGCCAACATCCGATTCCCTTGACATGCTACGGATGCCACGCTGCAGCTTTTTTTGGAATCCAGGAGCACTTTTGGGCAGCGGAACAGCGTGAGATTGGCTGTACAGACAGCAATGGCTGGACTCCTATTTGGTGGGTTATACTGGGTGGATAGGACGCGATGGTGAAGCTGCTGCTCGAAAAGGGAGCCGAAACCAAAGGAACAAGCAACAAAAACATGCCACTCGTCATTTGGATGCTTGGAGTCCGAGACGGGCTCACTCGGGCGATTACATTCGACGACATGACAGTAGCAGGGCGGGCTACCATGGGCAGCGTGTATTTATGGCCAGCCGATACCATCTCTTGCTTTGATGCCATGCAGAATTTCGGACCTCGCGCATTGCAAATTGCCACGCAAGAGAGTGCATCCGAGGTTATCAGGTCATTGGCCGGCGACGGGCTCAACGCTAGGGGTGTTGGTGGAAATTCCGTGCTGATGACCGCCGCAAGGCTCTGGCAATTTGATGTTGTGTGCCAACTCATTGATCAAGGCGCGGACATATCGCTGAAGAACAATTCCGGATCAACGGCTTTGATCCAGGCGTTGAAAGGTTGGGAAGTAAAGTCCAACGTCCAAAGTCTATACGTCAGTGGACAAGAACAAGTGAGGATTGGCAACTCCATCTTTATTTCCCCCAAGGCAACGCTTGACCCCTATAGCTTCGGAAGGAGGGAAGCCATTATTGAGAAGACGTTGGTAAAGCTCATCCCGGAGGACTTGAATGTCAATAGTGATGAAGGCCAAGAAGCACTACGCCGTGCCATCAGCAATAGGCATTCGCGTGTGGTCCGCGAGCTACTTGAAAGAGGAGCCGACCCGAATGCTCGAAACAAAGATGGTTACACACTGCTGGCATTGGCCTGCGAGCGACCAGTCATGGACATATTCTACGTCTCTAAACTGCTATATCAAGGGGCCAGGCTGCATGTGGGAACTTTTGTGTCTGCAACAGCGCCTAGCGGCGCGGACGAAGAAATACTTGGATTCAAGATAAGCTCAACCATAAAGGTTCTGTCCCAGGACAATGCGGAGGGAAGCAAAGTTTTGCCAACAGAGTTTGAGACGATTGTACGCATGCTACTGGACAAGGGAGCCGACATTGATGCAGACGTTGGCGGGCAGACCGCTCTAGCCCTTGCCGCCAAGAATGAGTACCTTACCGTGTTTAGAACGCTCCTTGCTGCAGGTGCAGACATTACTCGAGTCGACCCTTGTATTCTTGAGCGGCTGAGGAGAATGCTTAGGCAAGATGAAAGCTCTGAAGGAGTGTATGGGAAAGCGTGTCTCGGCACGTTGCAGGATTTCCAAACGCACGATTACTGCGTCCTCTTACTGAACTTTATGATTCCCCAATCAGTCATTGATTCGCAAGAGATACATGGCATTGACAACACAAAGATCTTTGTTGGAGACATCTTTCAATTAAATAACCAATTGCGATTGAGCTGTGGTGGCAACGCGGAAGAGCCTCACAGCGTGCCGCAAAGGAAATGGACTGCGCAGAAGGAATATGATGGGCGAGTCAGAGAAAAATCTGATTGTGAACCAGTCAAGCTGCTAGCCATGATTGCAAGCGCTTTGGACAAGGCAGCAGCGAAACGGAGAGTTTGTAGGAGAGATGAATTCTGGGCGTTTGGAGGCTGGGGAAAGATTTCACAAATGACGTGCGACCTGAAGCATGGCATCAACTTTTGCCATTTTTACCGAGTTGATATATCGCGGATCCACGGGCATAACCACACACAAAGTCCCGATCCTCAGGGCCCAAGTTTCTCAGTTCCCATGGAGCCTACCCGGTCAAGAAATTATAGAACCCTTTAGGGTTGGGCTTAGAAAACAGACAGACTTCTGGATGTTTCCTAGAGTGTCGATTTGAAACAAGCAGCGGTTTGGTTATTTGCTCCTGAATAGCTTCCTCATCCGGCGTCACTTTTAGAAGGTTTGGGAAGATGGGATGGCTGATTTCTAGGTTTTTATATGAATAGATATAAAGAGTGGATTAACTCGTGTGTATCTGACTTTCTAGCCTAGATGGGTATATCTGTACTGGGTAAAGCACCTACTTAGGATAACGTAAATTGATTCATGCGATACGTGTCTGGGTCAATCGTACCAACCCCCAAGCACAGGATACGGAAAGAGAAGAAGAAGAAGAACAAATAATGGTAAAAGCCTTGAGCAGAGTATCCTTCTTTAGTCATACTTTGCCGTGCTTATGCTTCCAGAATGCCGCACCCAATGACCCCTTGCTGCAGTTTGCCCCAATGGACTAAAATCACAGCGATTTTCAACAGTGATATACTCTGCGATTTCAGGCGTTTGCTTTTCCTTTAGGACCTCAGCGACAGTTTCGCACACCCTAATGCTCTTTAACAAAGCGGCTTGCCGGATTTTCGATGGCAGTAGAATCTTTTGGAATATGTCCCATGCCGCAGGGTCGGTTTCCTCGTCATGGTCCATCCCCTGGCTGAATGATCTGAGCTGGCAGTTGACTTGACGTAGCTCCGTAGAGATATCCCATTGGACGCTTTCGATGGCCTTTCCCACTTCGTCAGCTTTAGCCAAGTCGGTGCCGTCTGGGTTGCTAGAAGCACGTTAGTTATTGTAGCAAGGCAAGGTTGGTATGGGATCAACTTACAACTGCATGACTATAGCCATGGGGTCGAGGCGCATTTTCCATATATGCAGTTTGACTGCGGCATCAGAAACCGCGATGAGGCCGTGCTGGATATCATCACGCGCCCAGGCGCTGAGTTTGGCAAAGAGCTCATCGCAGACTATCTTGCAGTCTTGGAGCAGCTGGCGGCACTCTTGCAGCATTTCTTGTTCGTTCTTGGTGACGCGACTCAATGAGCCGTCGAGGCTCATACGCAGCGTTTCCAACACTCGCCCGAACTCGCCAAGTTCTGCGTATAGCTGGATCAAGGGGTCACGTCTGTCTTGCAGCTCGACAATAAGGTTGTAGAGTTGGGTGATGCTCGGCGCAGCGCCAGCAGCCGCAGCAACAAGGCTCTTGTTCAGGATCATCAGGTCGATGGCGTCCATGGCCGGCAAGGCGTTGGTGGATGGATGAGAATTTGAGTCTGCCATGGTGAAGATGCGAGATGCGTGTCTCGTGGAGCAAGTTTGAAGCAAGTTGCGTTTGCCGGGCGAACTCTGCACCACAGGATTTGATCTCCAGCCACGTGTACAGTGGCACCTTGGGCAAAGTATGGAGGTGCGAAAACTCCAAATGTCGAAAAATAAAATTTGAAATCGTAAAATTTAACAGTACATGTGTATTTCTCCTACTGGTGGTTACATATAGAGCTATCATGCTAGTACAAGGCTGAGATATGCCTTATTTATTAAGCAGCAGGATTACCACTTAAGCTCAAAGACTTAAATAACCTTAATTGAACAGGATGGCCTTGACTGAACACCAGGATGACCTTGATCAAATTAAATGACCTTGAAATGATTGAACAGGATCGCATCACGTGTCGGAAGCTGCATTCAATCACTGCGCAAAGCTGCAAGCACATTTGCCACTCGAGAAGATTGCACTTGCAGCTTTCCTTGTACTCATGGGACAAGGCAAACAAATTTGAAGCATTTGAGGATGGGAATAGCGCCTTTCGCCTCATATTCACAGAAAATCCTCTCAACAGCAGCGTCCAAAATCTCTCGTTTCTGCCTTTTTGGACATCTTCCACACTTTACTATAATGCCCTAGCTCTAGAATACAATTGCTCTTCGAGATGCTCTTTTGGGCGACTGTTCCGGACGTTATCAGGTACTTTTTAATGCGCTGCAGCCACGTCCGGCCAATGAGCCACGTGCGTTTAATGATTTGCTTAGAGTAGTGTCGAATCAAAGGCCTGAACCCAAAGATAGGGAAACGGGTCAGCTAAATTTTCATCTTGCTTGCTCTGGCTAGCCTGGATGCGGAAGCTCAAAGTGCCAACGTGTGGAGAAGGCCGCTGGACTTTTGGCAGGTCGTCGGTGTGCCAATGCAGCTTTGGGCTTTGAATAGTCGGCGCGGTCTCAGAAAGCGTTTCAGCTCTACGAGATATAAGAGGGGTGGTTATGCGGATGTTGAGAAATCTCTCGGGCTGAGCAAAACTGCCTTTTGTCACACTCACATCGACCATATTCTGAGTCAAAATGGCGTTGCGACATCTCGTCTTTGGAGCTGCGTGGGCCGGATCTGCGGTGGCAGCCTCAGTAACATGCGCATCTAATTTGCCGCTGAGTTGCCAGAACACCACCGCTGTCAGCAACACTTGCTGCTTCAACTATCCGGGCGGCCAGCTTCTTCAGACGCAGTTTTGGGACACCGACCCATCCACAGGCCCCAGCAACTCATGGACTGTCCACGGCCTCTGGTAAAACGCTCTTTTCAGCACAATTGATGCGCCCGTTGGCTGTTTCACTAATTGTTTAATAGGCCAGATAACTGTGATGGAACCTTTCAGCAGAACTGCGACGCATCAAGAGCGTACACAAACATCTCAGCAATTCTCGCAAAATCAGCGCCTTCTACGCTTTCGTTTATGCAGACATACTGGAAAGATTACCAGGGCAACGACGAGAGCTTCTGGGAGCACGAGTTTGGCAAGCACGCTACATGCATCAGCACACTTGATCCGGATTGCTACACCAACTATCAGCCAACCCAGGAGGTTGGAGACTTCTTCACGCGAACCGTGACCTTGTTCCAAAGTCTCCCCTCGTATGACTGGCTTGCTGCTGCTGGTATTGTTCCTTCAAAAACCGCCACGTACACTTTGGCGGCCATCCAGGCGGCTCTCACGGCGCACCACGGCCACAACGTCGTCATCAACTGCGATAACGGCGAGCTGAATGAGCTCTGGTATCAGTTCAACGTCCGTGGATCTGTTCAAACCGGCACATTTACTCCTGTTGACCCCGTTGGCTCTGCTTCCACCTGTCCCAAGACTGGTATCAAATATCTGCCGAAATCCGGTAGCAGTGCACCTACGACGACTTCCAAGACAGCTTCCAAGACGGCGTCGAGCACTAAAAGCTCTGGCGCGTCATCCACCAGCCCGGCGGGAGTTCTGTCCGGTAAAGGATACCTGTATGTCGATACTTCCAGCACGACTGGCGATGGGTTCCTGGTTAGCAGTGGTGCCTGGTATCGCGCTGGCGGTACTCCGGCTACCTACACTGCCACTCCGAATTCTGACGGTTCTACCTTTTCGCTCAGCTCCAGCAAGGGAAAGTGTGCCATTCTGAGCGACTCTTCTTTGAGCTGCGCCAGCTCAGTCTCTACTGCCAGCGGCTTTGCCTACGATGGCACGCACTTGACTTTCCAGGGATCGGCCAACTTTTACGCAGCCGCAGTTCCAAGCGGACAGACTCAAGGCACTGTCTTTGCAAGCACCCAGGCTGTGTCTCTGGCACTCGCATGGAATCCTCAATAAAGCTTTAGATAGGTTTACTGAGTACGCCGTATATGTAACGATTAGGCAAACGGTTAAGCAAAAAGAGATGAGTGCGTGACCAGATGATGGGTTATGACAAGAGACATAGTCATGGGCGAAAGATACACATGTTTTGGGACACTCGAATTGCTTAAGAGAGCATATAATGGAGTTTTCAAAGAGTCTTTTATTAGTACAAAGGAAAATGACGCACAGGCCTACATCAATATCAATAATTGCTAACAAATGAAATACACCCTCGGAGCCTTGCAGCCCAAATCGTAATAGGCATAAACAGCCTACATTTCAATAACACTTAGCTTGAATAATAGCAAGCTGCTGATAAAATGAATCAAAATTCATTCATCCATAGCATGCTTCGATGGTACAGGCATGCCAAACTGGTGGAATGCCGTCTCCCAAAACATCTTCTCGGCATTGGTCCGATACCTTGCTGGCTCATACTTGACAAGCGCAGGAAAGTATATCTGCATCAGGGCAACTCCAGCTTTGGGAAAAACCTTTTCCAACTCTCGAATAGCACCACGGACCCCAGGGGTTGCTTCATAGTCCAGCGGCTGTCGCCACTGTCCAGTTGTATCGTCCAGGTCCTCATCAGAAGTCACATCGTCTTGCGGCACCTCGAACCCGAGCCCGACAATGGATGGCCGCGGCTGGTACGGTTCGATGCTTATATTGAAGGCGCTGGCTGGTCTCCTCGCGACGCTGGCGTAGATGTTCTGAATCATGCCAATGCCGCCAATGAGCACCAGGAACCACGTATTCTGCTGCAGCCCGGAGACAACAACAAACAGAAACCCCCAGAGCACGGCGAGGATTCCCAGCAGCCAGGGCGTCTCGGCCAGTGGCGCGGACGAGGCGGTTGCCAACGACTCGAGATCCCAGGCAGTGCCGTTGCCGACAAAGACCATGGCGTGCCGGTGGCCGTTGCCGCGCGTCAGGCACACGACCTTGTTCTTGTCTTTCTTCTCAGTGCTCTCGGGCTTGTTCAGTCGACGGCCAGCCCATTTCTCGAGATTCCACTGCCGCAGGCTCCCCGTCAGGAGCGCAAAGATGGTACCACAGGCGGTGATGAGAAAGATGCTCCAGTCACCGTCTTGGATCCATGGTATCATGGATATTTCGAGCTGGGCGACAATGGCCAGCCATCCCAGGACCCAGACTCGGTCAATCTGAGGCTTCTCATTCTCCTGCATCTTAAATATATCTATGCGAAGAGACACCGTCTTCCCGGTAGCATCCAAGTTTGCATATTCAGGCCCAGGGTTTTCCTCCACCGCCAGCTCATGGTCACGGAGAATTCGTCCGAGTATCCAAGAGTGATTGTTCCGGCCATATCCAGAGGAGCAGTTGATGACTGAGGAAGGGCAGTCCGGTTCTGATGGCATAAGCTGTTTGTCGCCCAGCACCGACGCCAATGACTTGAAAGCGTAACCAACCCAGCCAAACGAGAATGCAACGGGCGTGAGGTACAGTCTGGGCCAGTTTTGGGAGGGCTGAACGTAGACTCCAAAGAGTTGGGCAATGGCGTGCTGGACAATGTCTCCGCCAAGTACGAATAGCAGAAGGAGGATGTTACTCGGGTTCTGCCATTGAATGGCGAGCTGCGTCGTGATATCCATGGGTGATGCTCTATCAGTCGTGTGTTTGTTTGCAACAAGGAAAGCGGTGGTGAGCCTAATTGATACGTTGGTCTTTGACGCCTTTATTTATGCTCTTCAGCCATCCATGGGGAGGGCGTGACTTGCCCGGTGCCACAAATGCATCACTTGGATTCCTGCTTGCCTGCTATGACCAAAGTCCGTGCTGCCCACTCAAAGCGTTCATGGTGGTGAACGAAGCGGCTGCGCCAATCAGGGCAATCCAATTTGAACAAAGCCGCCTAGTTTGATTCGTCAGCGGGTTGAACATGCTCAGCAGGATAGTTTGGAACCACCCATTTTGAACAAGTCGCCTACATGTAGTCTGAACATGATCAACAGGGTAGTTTGAACCAAGCCGCCCAGTCTTAACAGAGCGCCAATCTGAAACCGCCAACTAGTTTGGTCGCAGATAGCCTGTTCTATCAAAGTGAACAGTATCGTTGGAATTCGCCTCTAGGTAGGCCGTTTGAACGTAGACACTATGAACGTAGACACTAGGCAGGCAGACAGGCAAGTTACATTTTGCTTCCACCGCGTTCTCTTCTTTCGCCGTTAGCGGCCACTTTGCTCTATAACGAAGATTATATCATTTTGTAACTAAACAAGCAAAGGCTTCTTTCGTCCCAGGTGCACTAAGCCTCATTAGAGCGTTATGTAGTAACGGGCAGTTTGGGTCAAGAGATGGCGGTAAGAGATGATACATGGCTTAGGTAGAGCGCCGTAATACAAGTAGAACGACCCTATGATTTCTCAAGACAACAAAAAGCTGGCACCTCTGCATATCTGCTTTGTAGCATTGCTCAATGAGTCAACGCAACTTTCAACACGTGACGTGAATTGGTGACTTGGATGCAGACAACATGTAAGTAGTCACACGAGGGACTCAACAAAGGTGAGAGAGACAGAGTCCTTTTACAAGTCATGCGAAGGCCTGGTGGATCCAAAGTACGTCCAGTAAGGAAAATTCCTTTAAGAAGGACAACCTTTCTCGTCGAGATCACTGCTGTAGTGCTGAATTTCAGAAATCTCGGTTCCTGAAGTACCTAGTACCTATACACCAACGCTCTGCCTGCTATGGACGCCGAAGATCTTATAACCCAGGCCAAGGGCACTTCTCCGAACATTAAGGAACTTTTGGACCTTGTTAAGCCTTTCCAAAGCAGTCATGAAACCTTGAGTAGCCTACACGATGACCTTGATGTTCTTAAGCAAGTTGTTAAAACACTGCAAGAGGATAAAGATGGATTCTTAAGTCATAATGCAAAATACCAACCAAAGTTGCTAGAAGAATGCCACCACTTACTCAAAGGCTCTAAAATCATCTGCAGTGAGCTTTATGGCGAATTCAAGGGCGCTATGCAGCAGTCGGCCATTTGGAGCGGGGTGAATCAGCATGAAATCCAGAACAATGTCCTTCGAAATACTCCCATCCTAGTCGGACTGCGTATTTGGATACTGCGCCTTGACCTTACGGTTAAATTTATGCAATTGTAAGTTGATCTTATCTTGAGCTTTGGTGTAATAGCTCACGTGTTTTCTAGTAATTTATATCGCACAGCCTTGCACAAACGTACAGTGGAAAACATGATTGGAAAGTTCAGACGCGAATTGCAGTTTAGAAACCCAACACGCGCTCGAATACTGTCAGACGAGTTTTCAAATATCATAATGATATGCGAAATTGCTGCCGAAGCCGTAAAGGAAAAGAAAGAACTTGCAATCGCAGAGAATATTGGGCCTGAAAATGATTGTGATATCACTCCAGCACCGCAAACTGCAGCAAAGTCTCCTTGGATAAGGCGACCTAGAGCATGAGCATGTTATATATTCCAAGGACTTTACCAACTACGGACATCTAGACCAGGAGGTCAGATAAACACAAAACTGGGCTTATAATTTCCTGCAATGCATGACTGACCAAGGGAGGTCCTGGTTTATTTCCTCAGGATAGTTAGAAGCTTGTATTCCTAAAGCTACATCACTTTTGCTTTTTTTAGGAGTTAGTTAGTACCAAATTCATCGTTATACCTTTCAATTACAGATTTATCTAGCCAATAAGCCACTGTAACTTTACATCTAGTATTGAAACTCCTGGCCAACCAGCTTTTCGCTTAGTTTCCAGAGACGATCCGCTTCTATAGTGCTTGTAGCCCATGGCTTGACGGTATTTGTATACGGATCCGCGACATGCGAATCTTCCAAATATGCGCCGTTTTGCTCTAATGAGTATCGTTAGTAGTTGCTCAGGAACGTATGGAGCGAAACAAAAAGGCACATACCATTCAGACTCGGTTCGAAAGCCGCGTAAATGTGCGTGGCCACTCCTCTCTCCGGAGTCTTCCACTTGAAATCGGCCCATCCCTCAGCATTTCCAAGCGATTTATCGACCGCAGCTATGAGAAATCATTAGATGCCGTAGACGAAATTAGGCCGCAGACAGAACTTGCCTAATCCAGCCAATTCCACTGAAAAGTCAAGATGCGCGCCCAAACTCGTGCTTATCACGCCTGGATGGAGGCTGAAGGCTGTTAATCCGTGTTTAGGCCCCAACTTCTCGGCCAAAGAAATTGCCATCAGCATGTTTGCTGTTTTTGATTGGCCATATGCGCGCCATCTGTTGTACGTTTCGCCGTTCTAGAGTATAGTCAGTTAGCCATTACTCTATGACAGCTTCGGCATATACAAACACTAAAGTTGTAGTCGGCCCATCGGATCGGACTGAGACGGTGACCATCGCTGGAAACATTGACGACACGGGGAGATTTCGAAGCCAAGAGCTTTCCCATGATAAGATTTGTAAACAAAAAGTGACCCAAATGATTGCTTGCAAACTGCGTCTCGTATCCATCCACTGTTAGCGAGAAATCGGTCGCCATTAACCCGGCATTGTTTACAACGACATCAATAACAAGGGTGTGCTGCCAAGAATTGACAGTGGCTGCAGCCTCTCGAACAGCGGCTAAGGAACTAAGATTAAGCTGTAGAGTATAGACTTTAATGTCGGGATAGGCGGCTTGAATTGCGCTGGCGGTTTTTTGTGTTCTTTCTTCGTTCCGACCAGCAAGAATCAGCGTTGAGGGCTGAGCTTTGGCGACTGTCTCAACAAAGAAACCTCCCAAGGTACCAGGAGAGACGCCGGTGGTAAGGATGACCTTTCCCTTGATCTCTCCAGAAAGATCTTTAACGAGGTCATCGCCTGTAGTATCGGTTGTGTATGCACGCATTTCGATTTCGAAAAATTCACTTTATAGGAGTATGTAGCGGCTATAGCCATACCGGAAGGAAACGGAACATCAAGTAATTTATATCAAGACTTTTTTGTTGACCTATTTCGTGGTTGATACAACATCGCATCACTAATTACGGAGATAGTGTGCGATCCAAGAAACAGCCACTGTGCAATTGCCCCTAACGCCGGTGATATTCCGGTGTTAGGCATGAATAAAGTCCGGCACGCATATGGCGACATTCGATGTGTCTATAGAGACTTTAAGATAGGCGCGTGGTACAATAACGTGCTGGAATAAGTTGTAGAGTAAAGACAGTTTCTACAACTTTTGCGAAACTAATAAGCTCAACTGCAGCTGACAGTGAAAACGCGGCGCAAATTATGGTGCTGATATCTAATCAATAATTCACAGCTAACTAACGAAAACAAAAGCCCTGCTAGCGAAGTCAAGGATTATAATAAGCCTATTCAACTTATACATAGCATTTGCAAATCTGATTCAAGAGCCAACTGCTACACAAAAGGGCTGGAATCGACACCAGCAAGTGCAGTCCGAAACAGATTCTTCTCCAGAATCTCCTGCTTCCGGCTGATAAGCTGCTCGCAATCCCAGTTGACCCAGACAAAACGCCCAGCTAAGAAGCTAGCCTCATCAGAGGCCAGCCACGCAGTAAAGTCGCCAGTCAGTGCAGCCTCAGTAACAGCCAGCGTTTCGATTATACCAGCTTTGTGGCCCATGTCAGTTTCCACAGCGCCGGGATGAACGGATATGAAGCGAGCAACTTCCTGTGGAACGTCGTGGGAAGCAACTTCCAGCCAGCGAGCAAGAGCAGCTTTACTTGAGGCGTAGGCGCTAAGGGAAGGCATGTCGAACGAGTAAGCGGCGATGGTGTTGAGAGTAATGATGACGCCAGGGCCGGTCTTGGGAGCTTCGAGTTGTCGATGCTTGAGGTAGGTCTGAGTTACAAGGACTGTGCCAAAGACATTGATTGTATAGCCAGACCACCACTCGTCGAGATTGGCATCTTGGAATTTTTCTGGAACGGGCATGTATCCAGCGTTATTGACGAGAACGTCAGGAGAGTCAACGAGGCTTTCAAAGAGCCTTTTGACATCACCTTTGGATGAAATGTCGGCGGAAATGGCCGTGAAGCGCGTGGCAGGAAACTCTGCAGCGAGCTTCTCAGCGCTGGCCTTGATCCGAGTTCCGTTGCGGCCCACGATGATGATATGAGAAGACTTTCGGGCAGCAAAGGACCGACACATGTCAACACCCATACCATGGCCGCCTCCAGTGATTAAGATGGTCTTGCTGCTATAGTCGAGACGCTCGAGGGCGGCAGTAAGAGCAGCGTAGGGAGCCAGATGAAGTTCCATTTTTGTGGTTAATTTTCTAGAGTAAGTGAATAAAGATTAATACAGTGATGATTTATGATCCAAATGAATTACCACATGTTTTACTCGTTGATTACAAGACTATATATATACTCTCATCGAAGATGCTGCCTCTCGGGCAATCAGTCGCAGGGACGCTTATCAAGCGCTTTGCCTAGCCTACAATTCCGGCGCTGCCCTTGTCGGTATACAGCCACCGCCTACTTCTCACTCTAAAGAAACTCATGTATGAACCTCATTATTCCTTTGACTTCCTGGACTCCATCGCTAATGAAGGCTCGGAAGAAAATGATCATGTAATGCACCAGCATTTCCGAAGCTCCATTACTTAACACGGTTATATAAGCAGTGTCGGAATTATAGACTCGGTAGGACACTTGATAAGCCGTCACTAAACTACTTTCACCACGAATCCTGTAATTCCAGCCTCCTTGGCATCTTGTAACTCCCCTATATGCCCCATTCAGCCCTGTGAAGAGCCTAGAAAAGGCAATTATACAGAGGTCGCAAGACGCAATTTGTAAGAGAAGCAGGCTCATGGGAACTTTTCGCGGGCCTAGAAAGGATCTGCCGAGATGGGTTTGTGGCTCGGGTTCACAATTACAAGGCTGAAGTCATATCTCTGCATATTATGTATGTAAAAAGCGCTGTCCTATATTCAGCAGCGGAAGCTATAGCGTTCTGGAACTATTGCCCGAATAGGTTGCTGCAAGTTTTTGCGATCGGCAGGTTATAGCGGGGCGGTCATTATAAAGATAGCCTTAGAGTTTGCTGCTGTAGGGTTACTTTTTGCGAGGATAGTAGTGATTCGGAGGGATACGAGACCATAGCTGTGAAGAAAGAAAGTTGCCACTTGACATTTTGAGCATTGATAACTTATCAATTGCTTATTAATAACTGCTATAATCTCATGAAACTTCATTTTATTAAATTAATCATTACAGGCTTTGAATGCAAATCAATCTGGCCGCTCAACATCTTCATACAGTCGTCTTCAACTGTTACACTCAATTCCCCTATACCTTGACACTGTGTGCAGCCACATTGCTTGAAGCCTTTTCAACTTGCTGCACCTCGCCAAGCTCGATGGCTTTTGCGCCCATATCCTCATGGTGCACGGCTTTCTCAACCGCCATGACTGCCTGATCGGCCAGGGTTTTATCCTCAAACACTAAAAGAACAATTAGTATGCGAAAACCCAAGTATGTTGTGGAAAAGTACAGCAGGACACGTGGGACAAGTAGTAGGCGTGACTTACAAAAGGTGAGTTCCTCCAAAGTTCGACCAGCTGTCTCAGGGAACAGGAACCAGACGAAAACAATCTCAAAGGCCAGCCAGCAGCAATAGACAATCAGCCACCTCCAGCTAATGTTTTGCAGGCCAATCGGGTTCACAAAAGTAGCAAAGAATCCAGCAAGTCGCCCAAACAGCTGGAACACGGAAATTCCCTTGGACCGCTCGACGTATGGCCACAACTCAACCATGTACGTATACGTGAGCGCGTTGTAGCCAATGTTATAACAAGGCTGGTACGCAAAGATGAAGAAGATGGTGGCTGCACCGGCAGCTTTGTTGGGGATGCCAAGCTCATTGCCCTTGATACTCTGCTGCATTGTCACAGTCCAGCAGATGTAGACAACGAGCAAGCTAATCGTGCATGTAAGGTACATTGTTCGGCGGTTAAAACGGTTGACGAGCAGAGACACAGTGACACCGGCGAACAATGACCAGCAGGCTATGGCAACGTTGATCTTCTGCTTAAAGACAGAGTCTGTCTGCCCAATCATTGCTAGGAGATCGCCCAGATAATATGAGATGAGAGTATTGCCGGACCACTGAGTAAACAAGCCGAGGAACGATGAAATCAGCGTTCGTCGCCTCATGCCTGCCGTCTCGACGAGGGAGAGCCAGCTCTTCTTGGATGATTCAACCTCAAGCTCAATGGTGGCCTCAATCTGTGCCATCTCTGCATGGACAAACTCAGAGTCTCGGTCGCCCTCGGCGTGATACTTGATCAGAATCTCATTGGCCTCTTCGCTGCGGCCTTTTGTAACAAGCCATCGAGGGCTTTCGGGCAGGAGGAAGACGAATGTAATCTGCAGAATGGAGGGGACCATTTGCAGTAAAGAAGGTATACGCCATCCCCAGTTGCTGGGAATGCTGTTCGTGCCGAACGTGATGCCAGCGGCGACAATCTGGCCGATGAAGTATGAAACGTTGAATAACGAGGTGAGGATCGCTCGCTCTTTCGGGTAGCTGAGTTCACCGATCAAGGACGAGCCGGAAACGATGCAAGTCGGAATTCCAAAGCCGAGGATGATTCGAGCGACGATATACATGGCAACTATTCACATGTATCATTAGAAGACATATATAGGCCAAGTGATGTCAAAGTCGGCTTACCGTGCTGAGAAAATCCTTGAATCAGTGCTCCTATAATCATGATGACTGAGCCTCCCACGATAGACCATCGTCTACCATATTTGTCATTGACCATTGGGATAAAAGGAAGAGATAGAATCGCTCCAAGAGAGTATGCTGCGGCGATGATGCCCTTGAGGGATCCTTGCGGGTTATCAAAGTCTTCATGTCGGTCAGCATGCGTGCCCTAACAGGAGAAGAGAAAGGGGCTCATACAAGTCACCCACGAAGGGACAATTTGAAGAGCGTTAATCATCTGGGAATCAAATCCAGACGTGAGTTCGATTCCCATACACGCCGGAAAGAGGATCAGGTAGAGATATCTCAGGTTTGGCTTCCTGTACCACCCAACCTTGTCCTCATTCGCGATAATGGTCACGACGGGCTCTGAAGCCCCCGTCGCTTTGGTATCCGGCTTGAGAAAACCCATGGTGCCTGTCCGTGCTATAATGAACAGATTGATTGACAGAAGTGATGACCCGGAAGACTTTCACGAGAATTCATGCTCCCTTTTATCTAAAGACTCTGGTTCTGACAACCGCCACGAAAGTGAGCCCATGACCAATTTCTGGCAAAATATCGAACAATCCACCAGTCATGACTTTGCCAAGACGAGCTAGCCTGGTGCGAGCTGCGCCAAGGGTTTGGTCGCTCGCTAGTAGTTTTCTTCCCCTCAAAATCGCGGAGTAAGTCTGGGGTACTCGTCGGGGAGACTCCCCGGGGCTATTTGAAGTCTATGGCGAGACTTTAAGCTCGTAACCCCACAATCAGCTTAAAGTCGGTAAGCTTTTGGGTGGCATTTCTCCGTACATGAGCATACATTAGTCTTCTGCATGTGGTAATTTCCATCTGGTTAGTTTGCGTTGGGGCGATACTGGGCCGCCCCTCCATGGGGAGCGTCCGCGGTTCCCAGTTTAAACGTGCGTCTTAAACTGGATACCCAAATGTCCCGAAAGTAATCAGCATTTATAACAACTGTAATTTTCTCTCTTCTCTAGTTGTCTTTTCCTCTTCGGCTTGAGTACTTTTCTCTTCCGCGGTGCCTAGACAAGGTACAGCAATCATCTCACCATGGGCGAGTGGCAACCAGAGGCGAAAATGAACTTTGACGTCGAGACTGTCCTGTCTCAACTAACACAAAACGAGAAAATCGCGCTTCTGTCCGGTAAATTTCTCGAGTATCGATCTAGCGAATCCTGTTGCTAATTTGGGAATAGGCATTGACTTCTGGCACACATTTCCCATCCCCAAGCACAATGTGCCATCCATACGCTTTACCGATGGCCCAAATGGCATCCGCGGCACAAAATTCTTTGCCGGAGTGCCTGCTGCTTGCTTGCCGTGTGGAACAGCACTGGCAGCCACTTGGGACAAGCCGCTGTTGAAGAGAGCTGGAAAGCTCTTGGGAGATGAATGCATCGCCAAAGGCGCTCACTGCTGGCTTGGGCCGACCATTAACACGCCCAGATCGCCGCTGGGTGGCCGTGGCTTTGAGTCGTTTTCGGAAGACCCGTATCTTTCTGGCATACTTGCTGCTTCCATGATTCTTGGCTGTGAAAGTACAGGTGTTACTTCCTGCGTGAAGCACTTTGTAGGCAACGACCAAGAGCATGAGAGACGAGCGGTGGACTGCCTCATTACTCCACGGGCTCTGCGAGAAGTATATCTGCGGCCGTTTCAAATCGTGGCCCGAGACGCCAAACCAGGCGCCATGATGACTTCCTACAACAAGGTAAACGGCCGTCATGTCGCCGACAGTGAAGAGATGCTTCAACAAATCATTCGATCAGAGTGGAAGTGGGATCCGCTCATTGTAAGCGACTGGTACGGAACTTATACCACGATTGATGCCATCAAAGCTGGTCTTGATCTCGAGATGCCCGGTGTTTCAAGATATCGGGGCAAGTACATCGAATCTGCTCTGCAGGCACGTCTCCTCAAGATGTCAACCATTGATGAGAGGGCTCGAAGAGTGCTGAAGTTTGCTCAAAAGGCTGGCGAGCTGAAAGTCTCCGAGGTAGAGAGAGGGCGCGATTTTGCAGAAGATCGCGCTTTAAATCGTCAAGTTAGCAGCAGCAGTATCGTTCTTCTCAAAAACGATGACTCTCTGCTGCCTCTACCCAAAACAGCAGGCAAGATAGCGCTTATTGGTTCCCATGTGCGGTTACCCGTCATCTCTGGAGGCGGCAGTGCCTCGTTATTGCCCTATTACTCAGTTTCTCTATATGATGCCGTCGCAGAAGCCCTACCAAACGCCTCCATCACTCACGAAGTGGGTGCCTACGCACACCAAATGCTTCCTGTCATCGAAGCAATGATCCACAACGCGATAATCAAGTTCTACAATGACCCTATTACTCTTGTCGACAGACAGCTTCTCGGAACAGAAAACGTTTCTTCAACATCCTTCCAGCTCATGGACTACAACGCCATCCCAACACTAAACAGAGGCATGTTCTGGGGCACATTGCTCGGAGATTTTATTCCAACTGCAACCGGCACATGGGACTTTGGTCTCAGCGTTTTCGGCACTGCAGATTTATACATCGACGATGAACTTCTCATTGACAACACCACGCACCAGACCCGAGGAACTGCTTTCTTTGGAAAGGGAACTATGGAAAAGATTGGATCAAAGGAGCTTGTAGGCGGCAAAACATACAAGCTGCGTCTTGAGTTTGGCTCCGCCAACACCACGAAGATGGAAACCACAGGCATGGTCAACTTTGGAGGCGGAGCCGTCCATCTTGGTGCTTGTCTAAGGGGGGATCCTCAGGAGATGATTGCTCGAGCCGTTCAAGCAGCATCAGAAGCAGACTACACCATTATCTGCACGGGACTGAGTGGCGAGTGGGAGTCTGAAGGCTTTGATCGCCCACACATGGATCTACCGCCGGGCGTTGACGATATGATCTCCCAAGTTCTCGACGCTGCGCCAAACGCCGTAGTTGTCAACCAATCGGGAACTCCAGTCACCATGGCCTGGGCACACAAAGCGAGAGCCATTATTCAGGCGTGGTATGGCGGCAACGAGACTGGCCATGGAATCTCTGATGTGATCTTTGGCGCCGTCAGCCCCTCAGGGAAGCTGCCTCTGTCGTGGCCAGTTGATGTGAAGCACAATCCGGCATATCTCAACTATGCCAGTGTTGGTGGTCGAGTCTTGTATGGAGAGGATGTGTTTGTTGGGTACAAGTTTTACGAGAAGACGGGGAGGGAGGTGTTGTTTCCATTCGGGTAAGACTCCAAGGCTGCTTTACATGTTTCTTCATTGCTAATCCAACTCTGCTGTAGACATGGACTCTCCTACGCGACTTTTGAGCTTTCAGACTCTGAAGTCAAGACAGTTCCCGAGGTACTTCGACCAGGCCATTCCAGTGTAGCGGTAGTAAAGATTAAAAACACCAGCAAAATCGCCGGTGCCCAAGTTCTCCAGCTATACATTTCAGCTCCCGACTCACCAACACACCGACCAACAAAAGAATTGCACGGATTTGAAAAGGTGTTCTTAGAAGCAGGCGAAGAGAAGGAGGTGCAGATTGCCATAGACCAGTATGCCACTAGCTTCTGGGACGAGATTGAGAGCATGTGGAAGAGCGAAGAGGGGACTTATGACGTTTTGGTTGGGACGTCGAGCCAGGAGATTCTGGGCAGGGGGAAGCTGATTGTGCCTGAGACTCGGTTCTGGCTTGGATTGTAGACACAATAATAGACTGTAAGAACGGTATTTGCAGGATGAAGGGCATAAATGGGGGATAAATATTTAGGGATACAGTGATACAAATAGAGTCTTATAATAGAATATTTAGTACATATACTATTTTGAAGTGTACTCTAAATATCAAGTGCCCCTCCTTTTGCTACGTCCATACTCCATCTTTGTATACAAACCAAGAAGCCTACTGCTCCATTAGCCAGTCCAATATCGTGCCCAGCTCTCTAATGCCTCCTCCCTGATCGCTCCAGATATGCAGCCTCTCCTGGACAAGCCCAACGCACTCTCTCCACAGCGGCGGCACAACAACATGCGCCGCAGACTCAATTCCAGCCTGTTTTCCCCGATACGCTGCAATAAGACACAGAGCATGGTTGAAGCGCACGCGACAGGCCCCCCACGATCCAGGATGGCGGAAGAAGGGATTCTCAGTCTGGATGCGGTATATACTCAGCCTTAGTCCCAACGACGCGTGAGCTCCGAAGGTTTCCGCCTGAGATCGGGTCAGTCGCATGCCGCCGTGAAGACACATGTACAGGTACGCGCGGCAGAGCAGTTCTCGAACTTCAGCGTATCGCTCACGCATCAACTTCACCAGTTCGGGCTCGTCTGGTGGCGGCCGTGAGTCGGGCGGGATGTTGAACTGCAGCGCCGAGGGCAGACAGTCGAGCCACTGCTGCAACTGGCCTTCAAGCTTCTGGAGAGTGTCGGCAAGCTGAGAGGCGGTATGTGAGTCGAAGGTTGGTGACAGCATGACGGCAGCGCTGCGGGTGCGGTTGAGGAGGCGGCGCAGAGAAATCTCAGCGAGGTAGTAGTAATAAGACCGCTCGGTGGACTGGATGATGGACGCCTCTTGGTGGGGATCCATGGGACTGAAGCTCTCAATGGTTGGGAACGAAGGGAGGGAGTAGGGGAATGAGGATTCTTGCAGCGTGCAAGGAGGAAGGCCGTTGAGTTCATGCCGCACCTCGCTAAGATATTGTGAGTGTTGAACTCGCCTAAAGTCTCACATGTATGTGGTCGTAGGGGCTTACCATTCAGACTTTAGACACGTCCAGTATAATCGTTGTTCAAGGCCTGGGTAGTGTTATCAGTGAGCTATTGTTACACCAGCAGATGCATGTTCCAACATACTCTCTTCTTGCTTTGGCCGCCGTGTCTTGCCGTCAGAATGTTTGAGATTGTACGCTTCCCACATCATGGACGCGGTGCGAAACATCTTCCACCCCGGGATAGGCTCAATGTTGTACTGATACCACATCCTGGCTCAACCATCAGCACACAGCCACTGCTGGGCGCCCAATAATGATGATGATGACGATAATACGCACCCAAAGAGACAAAAACACACCACGCCGAGTAGTGAATCGTCCAGATACGCCGTCGACATTCGTTTCTGCGCCATTGTGATGTACATGAGCGACTCTCTCATGCGATGGTCGGGCACAGCCATTGTCACTCGTTGCCTTGGAATAAGGTCCAGTTCCTCGTCGGATTCTACCGTTCGTCGCTCGTCGTCGGGATAGTTGCCCCATATTGATGCCAGGGCAAACACTAATAGTACGAGGCATGAAGTAGCGGACCAGCCAAAGCCGTTTTCCAACACATATTTGATGTGAGCGTCTAGTTGGTCTGCATCGACTATTGGGTTTTTGCCTTGAATCTTGGTCATGTAAATGTCTCGCAGCTCAAACATGCGCTCTGGAGACGGATTTGACACTTCTTTTCACGCGTCAATACAACTTCTCCTTCAAACATGTTTACTCTTCTTTGTAAAATGGACTTGTTCATATTATGAGCATTGCACCTACCGAGATGAGACGGCTTCGTCTTTTCCGTATACTCTGACGAAGGAAACGTTCCGACGGGCTTCTCCTGCGGAAAGACAGACCAGTTGAGAATCATGTCTGAGCCGGTGATGGTCGTCCATGGAGTGTCTTTCCGCGACAGCGTCTCCAGATTGTCTCCATCCATGTCTAATTGGCGCAGTAGCTGCACATGATCAGAGCTTGGTGGGAGGCCATTCCTACTGCCGTCTGTTAAACTAGACAGGAGGCGTCCCTGCTCTTCAACGGCCGTCAGGATTTTCTTGCCCCATGTCTCGAATCTAGACAAGCATAATTAGTTTCATAGACGTCTTCTTTAAAGAAGCCCAACTCATCTCTCACATTGAAAAGGGATCCTTGTCCGGATAGTGACAGGGCACGCCGCGTTCCGCACATTTCGCACACGTCGGACGCCCAGAATCGCACCGCGTCTTGCTGACCCGGCAAGCATCGCAGGCGGCCAAGATCCTCGTGTGTGACGGAAGATGCGTCGAGCGCTTCCGCTTCTTGCTATTAATAGAATTCTCGTCTGCCGGCTCCATATCGACCATGCACAAAACTGGGCGGGTACACACGCTACCGAGGCCTGCAGTTGATAGCGGAAGTTGGGCGATGGGTAGGCTTTTGTGCCTTGCTTAGTTGGTTCGTAAATTGCGACGCCCACATGGAAGAAAATGTAACCTTCTTATACACGTGGCTAGTCCTAAACTGGATAATCTAGCTGTGCTACCCCGGATTACTTCATCTTGTGTTAGTGGCTGAGATGCAGCCGAGGATCGACACCAGTTTGGCTTCATCTCTTTACTGGGTGGCATTGAAGCTGGTTCAAGCCGTGGCAAAGTGGTGAACTGAGAACAGAACAATAATACAAGTAGAGTACAAATGGGTAAGAGAAATGGATAGCTACGGCAAAAAACTGTAAGCAGAGTCTGCAGTACAGGGTAAGGAGCGAGAACTATTGCGAAGCTATTGAGAGGTATCAAGCTGCAGTAATATTCAATGTCAAAGGCTATTCCAATGAATTTCAAGTAAATCTTGAGCTTATAGGAGTGTTTTGTTTTGGTATTTTAGTGGTTTGGTATATAATTAAAAATAGTTGTGTAGTAATTGGTTGTTTGTTTAGTTGGTTGATGAACAATGCGACACCAAGTCTTGGCAGTGTAACAAGATGGCCTAAACACCACCACAAGTTGGAAAGATCTCGAAAATTGTTATATAATCCTACAATATGTATTTTTTATCATTTTTCATCGTCAGTGTCTCGTCTCTTTTTCTTCTCTCTTTTAGCAACGTATGTTGATGCACCTCCATTTGGCGTCAATCTCCCTCTTTCTGGCTTACAAGATTCTCTGGTTACTTGGTTTATGTCAGCATTCAAGAAGATTCGCGCCCCACAGAACAGAACAGAGAAAGTCGCCAGCAATAGCCCAAGAATGATCTCACGCATGTAGTTTCGAGTCCCAAAAGAAATTGACAACAGGTGATATTCACATGACAAGAAGAATACATGCTCACCACCCCTTTCTTTTATCTCACTCATTCGTATTTACCGCCATTCCGCATCCTTCATCTTTTCCATCCCGTATAACGCAGGGCGTGGCCGGATAAATACGGATCTGTCTACCCACATTCCGCGTGCATTTAGCCTATAATGCTCGCTACAATCCGAATTGCTGGGATTAGTTCTTCATCTCGTGTGCAAGTAAGCTTTATAAGCTTCAAACGTTTGCTCTCGATGACGGGGCATGGGAGAGCTCAGGTTTCAGAATTGTTTGGATTGCCCCAATATTTACATCCGAGGCTCACGTACACCGTAGATGGACACAATATCGGCTGGTACGATTCTGGTTTCATAGTCATCTTATCTACCCGTAGGCCAATCATTGATTGCGCTCATACGATAATTCTATTGGTGCGCATGGCATGGATCTTGGAGCCGCATTCAGCTACAATGGGCGCGAACAGACTCTGAGTTAAAGATGGGAATATGCACATTGTTGTAAGAACTTCTGCAATATGGTCGGTTTAGTTAATTGCTCTAAGCTGCAGGGGCTCAAGTGAAGTCAGCGCATAGATGACTTGGCAGACCCCTGTCATGAAGTTCAGTCTGTACTCCCAACGGCTATGCTACGGGCCTGGCACATGCGAAGAGGACTTTCTATCGTACGAATCACTACATAATTCTACAACATGTCCAAAGCACCAGCTATCCTCGCCTGATAAACGGTTCCGGATCCCGATAGAACATGTTTATTACGCTGGACCCAACTTCTAGATTTGCCTGAAACAGCGGGGCAGATTGCGGTCCCTGTTTGCCGCGCGGGCTGCGAGACACTGGTGCGGTTGTGCCAAGGGAGAGGAGCGGTTGACAGCCGTTGAAAGCAGGGTCTACGATGATATTCAGTGTGAAGAGAAATTTGTATATATATGACTCTGTTTCTTCTTTTGCTTCGTCTCTTCTTTCTGGTTCATCATCACTCTCTTCTACTTTCAACCCTTTCCTTCTTTTCATCCCCTTTCCAGAGTCTCAAGCATCGCTGTGCGATCGCCTCTGTTTTCTATTCTTCATTCACCTTTTCCATTCTTTTTGTAAAATTATCTTTTACTCTCTTTTTTTGCTTTTATACCATCATTTCAAACATCAACAACCGAAAATGAAGTCCTCACTCGCAGCCTCTGTTCTCCTAGCTGTTGTAGCTGAAGCCCGTTTTGGTCAAGAACAGGGCAACGGTGCCATCACTGCTATTGGCGCATTGACAAACCTGGGCCAGCCCGGCCAGGCTGCCACTCTCGCTGGAGGCTCGATCCAGTTCCTTCTTGCTGCCGCCAACCCCTGTGGAAAGCTCACCCAGGCCGATCTTATCCTGAGCGAGCTCGGAACCAGTGACGCTGCTGTTGCCGCTGCCCGCGGACTGGTTGCTGCTGAGCAAAACTTCAACCCCTTTGTCGTCAGCGTGCCTTCTATCTGTGGTGATGCTACGCTGCCAAAGTCTGCCCAGCTCCGAGGTGTCGTTCCTCTGATCGACCCTGCGGTGACTGGCTCGGATCTTGAGAACAAGAACGCCAACGCCTCCAAGACGACGCCCTTTGCGGCTGATGGCCTCAGTGTGGCTCAGGTCATGATTAACCAGGGATTCTCCAACTTTACCATTGTCAACTCGGACGGCTCTAAGCAGCAAGCCTCGGGAGATTCAGCCGCAGCAGCTCCGTCCAGCTCACAGGCTGCCAATGTTGCGGCGGCAAAGACGACTGCTCTGGCTGTTACCGCGGTTCAGTCAGAGGGATGCGGAATCCCCACCACCATGGTTACCATCACCAGGACTGCTATTATCTCTCAGACTGCCGCAGCTTCCAATGTTGCTGCTGCTACCAGCGCTGCTGCTGCTTCTGGATCTGCAGCATCTTCTGGAGCTTCTTCTGACACAAACAATGCCTCAGCTGGCACCTGTACCGGCGGCGGCAGCACTCTGGCATGCTCCTCTCCCTCCAACGGCGCTGGTGCCGTCAAGAACGCCGTCACCGGTAACTTTGACGGCTTCGTCAAGTCTACCATTGCCGGTCTTGATTTCGGTCTCTGCGTGCCCACCATGAAGTTTGAGGCCGGCCTCGATGGCCGCAAGGACACCGAGTTCACCTTCCAGGCCATTGATCCCCTTGTCAACAAGGGCCAGGAGGAGGCTCTCAACCCCAACATCATCACCAACCGAATCCACGACCAGCTGACCAACGTCTGTGGAGCCAACGCCGCCGCCAAGGCTGCTGCTGCAGATGCTCAGACCAAGATCTCTGCTCTGGGTACCAAGAACGCTGATACTGCCAACACCTGGAACTCCCTTCTTGGTTTTGCCAACACCAACATCAACCCCGACAACGCTCCTGTTGCCGGCCTTGTTGGACACACCTAAGATGGGAAAGACTGTCTATGAGGATTTTTCACGCTTGCTCTAAGAGGTGGTGGAAAATGTGTATAAAAGCTTATTATTCTTTGTAAAGTAGATTTTTGAGAGATGACCAAAAAAATTAATAAAAGCAAAATAAATTCAATGCAATGCACGGCCATTATCCAATTGTTTCCATTTTCTTTTCCTCCGTGCTCGCAGCCACCTGTATAGTTGGCAAAACCCACGTAACAAGCCAAGGCTTGAAATTTCACGCAGCCGTTTTACGTTTGCCTTTTTCTGCTAATACGCGTGTCATTGGTTAGTGCCATGATCATTGATACCATGGCCGAGATGAATAGAAACTCGCAGCAATCAATCTTGTTCCAAGTCATGTCCCCCACAATCCCGGCCAGACCACGTGTAACACCCCGGCATACTGGATATGGAGATTACCGACCCTGGTGTGTTCCTAGCCAGGGCTTTGAAACAGGAGCACATTTTCCTACTTTCTGAGCCCTCTGGCTAAAAGTTCTTCCTCGAGAGACAGAAGACTACTGCCCCTTGTTCCAATTAGAGTGCGGACTATGGCTAGTTTTTCTTGTGGTTCGACGGTTGTGATTTCCGCAAGCGTCCCCTAAAACGAGGTTCAGGGCTGATAAGTGCGTGGAGCATACTATGAAGCTTGTTGATAGACTTGTAAAGAACGCTTTCCTCTCAATACGCGAAATTGCAAGAAGAGTTCCGATTTAGCTACAAAGTATCTCCGCCGGACAATTAAGGCATCATATCTTTCCCAAAGTTCATTACACTCCGCCTGCGCATCTCTTTACCGTTCTCTACATAACCCAAGAAGCTGTCAGCGCAATGCTCAAATAACACAGACCGGCTGGGCAGAGTTTGGTTTCCTAAAGGAAAAGTCTTTTAATGAGATTGCCGTGCACCCAAGACACTCTTTTAGCAAGCCGAGAAGAAAAAGACAACTCAGAGCTGGAAGGGAGTCTGCCAGTTTAAGCGATGGCCCATTCTGACCCCTGCCAGCGCGGAACAGCCCACCGTCTCCTGAACTGGGCTTCGGACGGCGGCTACAGCCCCGAATTCCCGAATCCCTGAGACCCACGCGGCCCGGAATCCCGCTGTGCTCGGTAAAGCCTCGTCCGTTGCAGATATCGAACCACTGCGACTAGATGTTGAGGCGCTGTCGTTGAAGGGTGCGACCCTGAGAGATCCAGCGCGGCGCCTAAATTTGGTGCCAGAGAACTACTTTGTAGGGGTGCCATGCATAGGATATCAGTGTAAGAATAGCTCTTTTTAGGGAGCAATGGCCAATCTGAATTGAGAAGCATCGTCAGCCTTGGGCTCCAGAGAAGAAGCTGCGGCTCTAGCTGAGAACCAAGGGCTGAAAATAGCACGCAGACTATCCCCTACAGATACTTGATTACTTCACGTTACTTTACAAACACTTGATTTGTATGTAAAGGTGGCAACCTCTGAACAATTGAAGACTGCCACAGAAAAAAAGTACGGCGTCGGTCTCATCTGTAGATGGGACTTATACGGTTGCGATCGTATTAGCAAAGGTGCTGAAGTCGTACAGTGCGTATACGCCATCGTTACTCTGATCATAGCGCCGTATCGCCCTGTAGCAGCTCGCTACGACACATGGTTTAGCGGGGTGCATCTACATGGCCTTGATTCAGCTGGATCTGGCTGCTGCTGATCAAGGCTGTCTTTAGCAGTGAATGGCTGGGTACTTTTGTAGATTTACATCAGCCCCATTGAACAATTACATATAGATTTGATCGACTTCTGCAAGTGACGTTGCTTTTCAGCTCCCACTGCCACAGAGCGCTACAGCGGGATAGAATACAGTAATCGCTCTACACACACACTGTACGTTTTATTGAATGCAGCTTTATCTCTGCCTCAGGTGCCACAACTGTACATGCTCTCTCCAACATATCATGCATTCCAGCCTCATCTCTACTTCAGCCTGTTGCTGGCACGGACAAACTCCCGGCAAATTGCTCTCTGGTATCTGATCTACTCGGCGTCATCTTCTTTCTCCGCTGACAAATTATAGTACAGCGATTCCCAGAACCGCATCGCTACCCTGATGGCCTCACATTTCAACTACCACGAATCCGACATCGGCCAATCTCAGAGTCGCATATCCAATGAACGACATTGATGTTTCTTCGAAGAGTATGAACGACGTCTGCCTTGTGGGTAGATCAGCCGATTGGGAATTGGGATCAAGGCGATAGGCAGAGATATTGGATTTGGGCGAGCAGAACCTCAGATTCTGCCAGACAAAATAGGGCAGTTTTTCTAATCATGGCGATCAATTTGCAACTTGCCCGACCATTCTCGACAAATCCTGCCAGACACCCGTTCGAGTCGTTGAAACAGCCACGACTCCAGTTCATCAGCTCGACGATGGTACTCGCATGACACCAAGCCCGTACATCAATGTACATCCAGCCCAGCTTCAATCTCGGACTATTTCTGTACCCTTGAACCTGACATGGGCGACCGGCTTAGTAACATCGATTGGCAGAAACGACACAGTGAGAATTACAGTCACGAATCACTCATTAGACACCAGAGCACACTCGATATAATCATGACTTCATTGCATCCATCTTCTAAATATAGCTGCGAAACACATTACTTGGTCGGCTTGATGAACTGAGCGAAATCAGCCGGGAGGCTCTTGTCTCAGCATCAGCGTATTAGGAATTATTTACTGGTTAGAAGGAGGGTTCAGGTTCTGCGTAGCCTGGATCTTGGGAACGGCACCAAATCGCTGGTTACCTTGGTCGAAGATCTGGTATCAATTCGTTAGTATCGTCAACATCATTCAAGCGCGAATATTCACACAGGGTATACTAACCGCGTAAACAGACTTCAAAAACACGTCGCCCAAAATGTCAAAGGGGTTGTCTCCCCTGGACTGGACTCCTCCGTACCAGTTGTTGTTATCCGCAGGAGCAAAGGCCAGATCCTCGGGCTGAATCACAAACTGCGTGTTTCCGACGGAAACCTTGAACTCAGGGAGGCTAGACACATCCGTGCTCATGGGGAAGACGTAGCCCTGCTGCTGGTCGTCGTATTTGGCGCCGGGAATAGCCTTGTACAGAGCATCGCAAACGTCGTCAGAGACCAGGGCCAAGGTGGTGCCAGTGTCGGCGATGGCGCTGTTGCCGGACTGGGAAATAGCCTTGCCGTTGACGGAGCTGCTGGTCGATGGGAACATCCAGAAGCCCTGAGAGTTGTCGACGTCAGTCCAGGCAATCTGCTGTCCGGAGGCTGTGACGAGATCCTGGTCGATGTAGCCAAAGGTGTAAAAGGACTGAGCGTTGGCATCCCGCTCGCTGTAGAAAGCAGCAGTGAAGAGCTCAGACTCGCTGGGAACGTCTTCCTGGGTAATCATGTTGGCAACGGGGGTGTTGGCGGGCGTGGGCTTGCCGTTGGTTGTGACGGTGTTGATGGATGGCCAGGCGAGGCCGAGAAGACCATCACCAGTGCCCTGAGCGAATTGCTGAGCAAGGGTCGATGCAAGCTCAACGGTCTGGTTCTTGATGGTGAGGCCGCCGACGGTCACATCGTCAGAACCGCAGTCACCGGACGCTGAGCTACCGTCGCCATAGGAGATTTGCCATTTCTGGCCAGTGAGCGCCTTGAAGGTAGACGAGTTCTTGGGGTTGAAGACAGTGTGGTTGCTTTGGAGAGACTTGCTCAGCTCAGTGGAGAAGACCTAGGCAACAAGGTTAGCCGCTACGCTGCACAAATCCAGGAATGCGTCGTCTCATTTCGTTTCAACTCACCCAAAGATCAGAGGAACCGGTATCAAAGTCTAGCAGCAGCTTCTGGCCAGGCGTGCCAATGGTCACCTCGCACAGATACTCCGAGTCATTTTGCTGGTCCTCAGCCCCCACTTCGCCAGTCTCCGTTCCGTTAGGGTCCGTGGCGCCCTCTGGAGTCTGCTTCTTCTTCAGGTGCTTCTTCTTGTGGACGCGACCCCCACGAGCCTCGTGAAAGTCGGGGTGGGCAAGTCCGCGCTGGTGGAACGAAGCGCCCTGGAAGTAGGGGCCGGGCTTGGTGGGCTCAAAGCCAAAGCGGTTGAGCAGGTAGACGTATGACTTGGTGCCGTGGCGCTTGTAGTTTTCGTTGCGGATGGCCTTGATCTTGCTGAGGCCGCGCTCCAGGGCGAACTTTGACTGCACGTTGAAGATGGCCTCCATGGTGGATGACGCCTATCTATGATATAAAGTATATGGGTTTATGAGAAGTGTTGATGTAAGTGACAACACGAGGAGAGCTGTTGTGAGGAGTCTACTTCTTTTTATCTTGCTTCGACCGAAGATCAACACTAGTGAGCGGGGGAGAAACCGGTTTATTTATACAACGCTCCGACACTCGACGTTGGAAAAATATCACCTCTTCAGCTCGAATGCATATAGCTTCAAAGTCGTCATACACGCATCTGGCCGCCTTATCACACCTATCGCGCATGGATGGTCGATATGCCTTCCCACTTTAACGCGCGTCAAGGGGCCAGTTGTTCTCCCGTTGCATCAGACACAGAGACAGCTGACTGGCTGCCTCAGACCTGTGCCGCATGATATGCTGCGGTTCCTGTTTTCTGGCAGCGCCCTTGCTTTTCGTCATCACTCGCCCTGCACGATTCCATTGCCGTCAGGGTGACGCCGGGCCTTCAATGCGGACCTGGAACAAGCCTGGAAGAGGCCCAGACGTCTTGTGATGGCCAGTCCAGGTGCATGAAGTGTGAGCGGAGCCTCAAGTGCCGAATCCCGAGTAGCGGCAGAGGCGTTGGAGGCGTTCACAGACTGGACGTGAGGCGCGGGCCGAGTGTTCCACAGCAGCTGGAGTCGCACACACTTTATCCAGCCAACCGTGGCGCAACGATAGCACAACCCCCCGTCCAGATGCTATATTTGACAGCAGACTCGCCCAGAACGTGTGCATCTCCAGCTGGCATCCTGGCTCGTTTTCAGCTTTCAACAGACATCTACCGTCATTGTCTTGAGTGCATCGCCCACGCAAAACATGCCGCTATTCCCGTGGAGCCCTCTTGGCCAGTCGCTGAGGGGTGACTGCCTGCTCTGCTCTGCTCATTCGATAGCGTTGGTGTTTTGCCGCCGTCATCACGATTGTTGCCAAC